GGCAGGGCGCGGGTGACAGCGGGCGCCGCCGCTCCGCCCGCGGGATGCCCGGCGGGAGGGCGCGATCGCGCTCCAGGAAGAAGGTTCACTTTCTCTTTTTCCTGCCTTCGCATCCGAAAGGGGGACTCGCTCCGGCGCGGCGTCCCGTCCGCCCCGCCCCGCCCCGCCCCGCTTTTCTTCGACGTCTCCTCTGCTCTGCTCTGCTCTGCTCTGCTCTGCTCTCCTCCGCCGCGGACGGGGCGGGTCGGCGCCCCAGCCACCCACCACCCACCACCCACCCACCCTCGCTGCGGTCTCCGGGGAGGAAAGTGTCCGCGTGCGGCAGCCCTCCCTCCGCACGTCGGGGGTGCGGGGCGCACCCCTTGCGTGGGCAGCCCTCGGGCCGCACCACGCCTCCCTGCTGGGAACGCTGCTCCTGGGCACGGGCGAGGGGCTCCTCCGGCGCCGGCCCCGCCGCGTGCGGGCGCTGCGGGCCGCTCTTCTGCGGAGAGGAAGCCCGAAGAAGGCCGGCTCCGCTGCGAAGGGCAGAGCCGCGGCTCGGTCCTTTCCCGTCCGGGGTGCCGCCGCAGCCGCCGCCTTTCTTTCTTTCCGCCCTTCCTTCCCCTACAGCCTCCCCCCACCCCCAGGCAGGAGACAAGGGCGATGCCCGTGACGGCCCCGAGGGGACGGGCAGCCTAGATCGCTTTGCGCGGGGGCTGCTAGGAGGGGAGGAAGCCGCGCCGCGCAAGCCCGGAGAAGGAATCACCGAAGGTTAGACGGTCGGAAAATAGAGAGGGGCCGCTGGCGGCGGAGCCGAGGAGCGCGGTCCGCCAGGAGGCCGATTTCCCTGAGCCTCGGCGGAGGTCCCACCAGGAGCTCGGGCGAGCGGGTGGGGGAAGGTCCTGCCTTTGCACGGACAACTTTTGCCCCGTTTGGAGACGGTGCGCGTTGCTTCTCGAGGAGCAGGGCTTGCGCCCGGGGGCGGGGGGAGGCCCTTTTTGTCGACGAGCGATGTCTGGTGGGTCGCAGCGCAGCGTGGGTCGGGAGAATGCTTGCTTATGGAGCACGAGCGTGGAGGGAAGAGCAGTGAGTCTTTTCGTGCTGGCTCCGAGTTGCCATTCCCTGACCAGGTGGATCGACGCTTGCTGCATAGGGACCCCTTGGTCTGCTGGCAGCCTCCTCTTGGCCGCTGCCAGGGTGGCCCCACGTGGGGAGGTCCGGGGAGAGTGGCTGAGTTTGTTTACTGCCGTGTAGCTTTTTATTCCGCCACAAAATCGGAAACTGGCCGTGGCAGCAGGGAGTGCAGAGATGGGACGTGTTTGGAGCCGAAATGGAGAGTGGTGGGGGCGAATGTTCTGTAGGGATTGTCATTTTTCGGACAGTCGCCGGCTTTGGGCATTCGAGGGGTGTGTGTGTGGAAGAGGTTCCCCCCTTCTTCCGAGGGGCTTGGCAGGAGCTTCTTCCCCGGGTTGGTAGGACTGCCCCTGTTTGTCTTCCTTTCCTTTTTTAAACGTGGTGCGTGTGAGCAGCTCCGGCAGGGCTCCACGGCGAGGCTTCCCCGTCAGGCTAGGCTGTGTTGTGCAGAGGAGTGAGTGCGGCTTCAGTGCCCCTGGGTGAAGTGGGGGCTCTCCCAGAGAGGATGGCTGCAAAGTTTGTGAGGCTTCGGTGGGGATGGGCCACCGTCTTTCATGCGTCTAGAGTGTGTCCCGCTTGCGACACGTTTAAAGGGTGAATGAGCAGGTGTGCAGGCAGAGATGGTCTCGGCTTTCATTATGTGCATACTTGCCGCATTAGCAATGCAAGGGAGGAAGAGGGGCTGGGTTTAAATGAGGACTTCCACTGTCGGCCTTGCACCCCAAATGCACATATTCCTTCGAAGCGGATTGGAAGTGGTTGCTGGAATTATTTGCAGACCGATTGATTCTGGCATTGCAGTGATAAGGCCTTCTCTAGGTACAGTGCTTTGCTTCCCCTGAGCGAGGAACTTTGCTCCTCCAGCCTAGGTGTGTAGAAGCTGAGCTGTGCTCTCTGTCTCCCAGAGTGATGATGAACTCTGTGCATATGCAGAGGTACTCTTTCTCATAGCACATTGGCAGTGCTGAATCTGCAGCTTCCTAAATCAGAATAGGAAGAAAATGACACCTTTGTAACTTTTCATGTAGCTCAAGTTTTGGGAATTTGTTAAGTGCACCTACATCGTAGTGGTTGTGTTGCTAGGAGTGGGTGGATTGGCTAGTGGTTCCAGAAGATATTACTGCCATATGTGAAAGATGGTTCAGGAGACTTGTTTATGCGCATTCTTTCTGTTTTTTGGAAATTTTAGGTTGGAAATAGACCTAATTCTTTCTTTATCTCAATGGCAGACCTGAAAACGTGGAAGCTATAAGAAATCTGCCTGACTTTCAACGGTTATCAGCAATTGGTTTTTTGGCCTTTCCCTCAGCAGGCAACGCATGTCAGCTTGCCTCTTCTGAGAACCAAAGATGATGTTTTCTTTAGTTTATTTATTTATTTTAAGCATTTTGTATCTGGCGCTTTACAGTGTCTCTGTGTTTTGGTGGTAGCCACTGAAGTTTTCAGACTTACACCAGCCACTGGCATTATTTCCACTGCATTATTTTTGTATGTGCTAAACTATTTGGGTTAGGGTGTAGATATATATATACTTTTGCTTCAGCAAAAATGTTTCAACAGCATTTAAGCCTATATTCTAAGGTTCTCTCTGCAGTGTAATATCTTTTCTGAGAATCTAGTTTAGGGTTAGGACTTTGGGAGACTGAGCTACAAAAGAAGTCCCCAATTTGAATCTTGCCTCAGCCTCGAACTTCTAAGCTAAAACAGCTGAAGAACCACAATTCCCATCATCCCTCACTTTACTGACTAGGGATGATAAGCAAAAACATCTGAAGGGCCACAAGTTGTCCACCCCTGCCTGAAGCAAACAGTCTTTCGGTCTGTCCTGTCCCCATCCTCAATGTGGGGATAATAATATTGGCCTACCTTACAGGTTTGTTGTAAGAGTTACTGAGATAATTGCATATGAAATACGTTGAACAAGCTAGAGTGGAGTTGTGAATATTTCACTACTCCTATCCTGTCTGATGCCAACTTGAATAGTTATTCTGCAGGAATGGTGGTTCTCTCACTCTGTGACTCTTAGAGACAAGTGGTTAGGAGAAGCATAAGCTGGGGAGCAGGGAACCACTACTAAATGCCCTGCTTGCTTTTTTCACCTTTCTTGCATCATTCCTCTGCCGCAAGTAGTGCTGTGGCTGACAGCTGCAATCGTGGTGCGTCATGGCCAGAAAAGTTTGTGCGTGTTGCTTTTGCAGAAGGGGTTTCTAATAGTTGGAAGGGTGAGATTGGAGGCCTGGGAGACAGTGTCATTAACTAGCTGGCTGAAGTGCAGTTGAAGGGTGGCATCACACTGGGAAACGACTGAGGATTGGTTACAATTTCTGTGCCCTGCTCTTTATTTTGGAGCTTCATTGCAGAAGAATAGCCTCTTCTTTACAAATATATGAACCAACCATAATCTTAGCCAACAGCTTCTAATCTCCCATTTCATATGTCTCTCTTAAAAAAAAAAGACACCCCCTCGTCACCCACTTAATAGTATTTTATTTCTTCCATCTGTCCTCTTGCAGGAGAGACCACCTGGGGCTCTGTGGGCAAGAATCTGGCTGCACATACACCCCCCCCCCACCCCCCGCTTTTCTAGGACTGGCTCTGGGCTCCTTTATTCAGAGATCCCAGCCCACTCCAGCTGCATGTGCTGTGAGACCCCTCCACCTGTTTGCCCCCTTCAGAATCTGTCTAGACCCCTCGGCTGAGAATCTACTGCATGGCATCTAGTGAGCTCAAGGGGCAGCAAACAGACTTGTGCAGAGTTAGAACTGAGGTGGGTCCCTTCCCCTGAGGACACTGAGGAGGAATTGCTGTGCACTTCTATGCATATGTACCAGGCTGAGTTCAGTAAGCCTTACACCCTGGTTCATGCATAGATTGGCACTTTACTATGTTAATTGAGGCCTTGGAAAATAATTTAAACTCTCAGGCCCTGGCACCTAAAGAAATAAATCCTCTTTCAGATGATTATGCCCTAGCACAGGGGTGGGAAACTTGTGTACCTCCTGATGTTTTGGCCTACAGTTCTCAGTATCCCATGCCATTGACTGTGCTGGCAAGGAATTACGGGAGTTGTAGGGCAAAACATGTTGATCCTTCCTGCCCCAGAATCAAACTTTTGTCCCTATTCTATTTATGCCAGGGGTCTCAAACTCGCGGCCCGCGGGCCAATTGCCGGGATGGGCGGGGCACGGGGAAGGGGCCCTGTGGCCTTCAAAGCGCCGGCGGTGCCCGGGCCGGCTGCGGGATGAGCGGCCCCCCACCACCGCGGTGGTGGAATACTTGATGCGGCCCAGCCTCACCCAGACTCTCCTTCCAGCGGCCCCCAGGTCAGTTGAGTTTGAGACCCCTGCTCTATGCCATTAACTTGAAGGTCAGATGTTGGTAGACATGAGTTAAGATCTTTGGAGACCCGTCATGCAATGGAGCAACTGTCCAGGAAGGTTGTGCGAGCTTCTTCCTTGGCAAGAAGTTAAAGAGATTGTCTCGGGGAAAAGGATGGTTTATCGTTATAGTTTACCACGTTGACATTTCTTTCTGTGTGTGCTTGAAGGAGCCCCAGGCAGTATACCTGGGGATTCCTTTTCACAGAGGGAGAGGGAGGAAGAATAACTAGCCCGGGGTCTCCCTTCGGGCATCGTATCTGAGCAAGGACTCAGACCACAGCTGGCACTCTGAGCGGCTACATCACTGCCTCGGGAGCGGGCTAGACCACCCTTCTCCTGCCTGACGCCCTCCAGACATGCTGGGCCATGGTGTCCATTGTTCTATTGTAGGGAGTGGCAGTCCAGCAGGCCACGAGATGCCCGACTGGAAGCTGCTTGATTGGGTGACCCACTGAGCTTCATCCAGTGTTAAGAGTCCAGGGACTTCCCGCCTCCGGGAAGAGGGGGAGGGAGGGAAGTGCAGAGTTTTGTTTATAGCACAAAAATGTGCCCTTCGTGCTTGTTTGCTGCATGGGGACCAAGCATTTTCCTTTGAGGAAGTGATTCTCTTTTAAGAAGTTATTCCATCTGTCCCCAAAACACTCAGCATGTTGTTGTAGCTGGGAGACTTCGAGTCCTTTGCTCCACCGCATGGGCATTGCCATTCAGAAGGATCTCTGGGCTGTGGTTCTGCCAGTACCACGGACACTTCTCTGATAGAGGCCATAACATTGCTGATGCGGGGGGCGGGGGAGCGGGTGGCAGCAGGCATCCATCCTTGCAAGCCTATAGCAAGTGTCCCAAACTCCTCCAATATCCAGCCTGCAAGTGGGGACTGAGACCGGGGAGAGCCAAGGCAGAATGGGGAGAACTCCCGCTCAGTTTCTGCCTTTTCCCTGCACCTCCAGCTTCTGTCCCTTAGACTTTGCCTTGAGACTTGGGTGGGCTGCCTGAAGAGATGAATCACACGAGGCGTTTCTCCGGATCTTACCTTGATACTAGCCCTGTTGCAGTTACAGCCTGAATGGGCACCTGCCTGCCCCTACAGCCTGCTGTTTGCATCTTCCCTAATCTTCAGGAAAGGGGTGAGCCCAGTCGCCTCTCTCTGCAGCAAAGCAAACCCTGCCTCCCATCTGCTAAGATTCAGATTAGCAAGCGCCAGTGTTTAGGAAGCTCCATCCACACCAGTCTTCCCCAGCCTTATACCTTCCATGTGCTTTGCATCATCCCTGACCTTTGGATTTTCTGGCTGAGGCTGATGGGAATTGTAGTCCAAAACATCTGGAAGCCTCCATGTATAAGAAGCTCTGCTCCGACAACAACAGTTTGTAAAGAGTTTCGAGCAGGAAGCTTTCCCAGCCCTGCCTAGAGACAACACGGACTGAAGCCCAGACGTTCTGCATGCAAATGCAGGGTTTCTGCCACTGAGCTATGGCCCCTTTCCGACTTGCAGAAGTGCCCCAGAAAAGTTTAGGTGCTCTGTGCTGCCATGCCCTGACCAGATCGTCAGGATAAGATACCGGAATCTTTTCCATGCTATTAACTCCCCACTCCAAGCTTAGTCTCTGGGGTCAGAAGTAGAACTGCAGATGATGATCCCACTGATCTTGCTTAGGGCAGGAATGAGGGACACGTGGCCTTCTAAATGCAGACAGACTACAGCTCCCACCAACCTTGGCTAGCATGGCCACTGATGTGGGAAGATAGCAGTTGTGATCAACATCTGAACTTGTTTCCCATCTTTGATTTAGTGAAAGACTAAGTGAGACACAGAAAGATACTAGCACTGCAGGTGTCATATCTTGAGTTATGTTCAGCTGAGGAAGTCCATCTCTCAGGAGTGGAGCAGCCCTCTAAAAAAGTGGGAGTTAAAGATAAATGGAAACGGGGGAGGAGGCAACCCCCCCCCGCAGTCTTCCGTACCACCCAAGTGAACAATTCCGTGAGTGGGGAGCGGGGGCTTTCAGTTACAGCTTCCTCTGCTTAGGATGCGATGCTCTGCACACTTAGTTCGGAATCAGTCCTCTTGGAATTGGGGGGATGTCTTTCCAAGTAAACCTGTGTTGACTCAAACTGCTTCCTACTGAAAGCATGTGTACTTTTTCCTGGTTGGGGACAGGTGAGAGGCTTTTCTGGAGGCATATCTTAAACGCCTGGAAAACACGTGTGGAAACTCACAGACCTGTCCCCCTCCCCGCTCCATTCCTTTTTCCCAGCTAGGGAACCATCCACATGTCTCTTCCTTAAAGGAGCAGATGCGCTTTAGGCTGATGCAAGGAGCGTCCCCCACACAACTGGCATCTGAGCAATACTGTGCGTCCGGGCAGCGGATGCGGCTCGTCTGCTACTGAGGAGGTTGGGGCATTTAGGTAGAAGGAAGCAAGGTACCTACCTGCTGCTTCTCCAGGCTGTTCCTCCTCACATCTGACTCTGCTTCAAGAGGGCCGGTCGCTTTGGCGAGCTTGGTCAGAGGCACTTGGGCAAATTCCTTTGTGGAATTCTCTCTGCTCCTGGCACCTCCCCCTCCGCTGCCTGTCCAGAAGGCAACTCCCCACGGCCTCCCTGGTACATGTTCTCTTACTGCTCGGATATGGGAGCGGAGATCGCTTTCCCTTGTTCCTCTCCCCCCACTCCCACCCCACACACACAAAACGTGAATCCCCCAATTCCTTTATCTTGGTTGGGAAGGATTCTGGCTCTCCCCTTTTCTGTATTCCCTGGGAATGCTTCTGTCTGGCTCATTTCCCACATCCTCCCTGAGAAAGGAGAACAAGAATGCTTTCAACAATGTCCATTTCTGTTGCTGCATCCTTCGAGGGCCCTCCGTGCCTCTGCCGTTGACCCCGTCTTTCCTTGCCCAGCCGGCAAATGCGTGTACCTCTGCTCCTGGCTTCTTTCGCCGTGCGTCCAAGGGGGTCCTGCCTCTGTCTGCCCCAAGCGTCTCCTCCTGCAGCCCCCTTCATTCCACGAGGCATCCACTCTCTTCCACCCTAGAGATCTCACAGGTGCTTCTCCTGAGGTGGCTTGGTTAGGAACTCGATGCAATATACACTGTTCTTCCTCCCTAAAAACAGCCTTCCGAAGTAGGTAAGGCTGAAAGGAAGTGCCTGGATTAGGGATACCCCATGAACTGCATGGCTGAGTGGCCTTTTGGAACCTGGGTCTCCCTGTCCTGGTTTTACATGTTAACCCGTGTGCCACCTTGGCGTTCACTCGGCTGCAGATCCCTTTCAGTGTTGCGTCTATGCTAGCTGCTCCTCATAAGAAGGCACATTACCCTCCTTTTTGGTTTGGTCTGAATGTCCTTAATCTCTTTCCAGAGTGACCCCAAACTAGAAATCTGGCAGCTTGTGTCTTGCACAGCTGTCGTAGGAGCCGCTTCTGCATTTAGCTGCCTGACAACATGTCAGTGGCTAAAGAAACACAGCTTTTTTTCTGGAGAAGAATTCAGCTGGAGGTGTTTCTGTCCAAATGGGGCGAAAGACTTCCCTGGACCTGTTCTGGCCCAGAGGGGGCTAGGCCAAGGGGGCAGCATTGGTTCCTCCGCGGTGCTGTTCTTGCCGCTCGCCTTTCGTGTTTAGCAGCATCGCAACACAACTGGGGGTGGATGTGGATGCCTTCGCCCCACCCCAGTCCAACACACGTGCCCGCATGCGCGCGCGCGCACACACACACACACACACACACACACATTTGGCTCTTTCGCTGTGCAAACTGTCCCACAGACACGCTATGAAGAAGAACGAAAATGGCCAGCAGTGGACCTGACTTTAATGCTGTGTGGCTTGGCTTTTGCAGGCGGAGCCCGAGACGAGCAGGCCTGGTTGCTGCTGAGTGGCTGTCATGATATCCGCAGCACCTCTTTACAGCGGGGTGCACAACTGGACCGGCGCTGAGCGCATTCGCATGTGCGGCCTCAACGAAGAGAGGTGAGGTGCGTGCGTGCGTGCGGCCTCCCCGTGCCCAGAGAAGGGCTCAGGCAGCTGCCCCGTGAGGTGGGCTTCCAGAGCTGGGAGGGGGCATTCTTCCATTTGTGAAAAACACTCCCTTCTCCCCTTACTTCAGCCTAAGTCACTCGGTTGGAAGCTGGAAGAAGATCCTACATAATTCCTGTAGCCTGGGCCTTTCAGTTTTGAAATCAGCATGTTTAATTTTGGGGTGTTGTGAGTTTTGTTTCATTGTCCCTTTTGATTTTATGGTGTTTACTTGTATGCTAATTATTTTTAGGTTTGTTTATTGCCTAGTGAACTTTATGCTATGAATCTGCATGCAGCTCTTGTGAATAAAAAGGACACATTTCAGCCTGCTAAGGGTTTGATCCCCCATTCCTGGTGTAATCAGTTTTAATCATTGTTCCCTTTGATAGATGTGGACAGCTTTATTGAATAATACTAGTGCTACTACTAATGAAAATTATTACTCACCCTCCAGAGAACTCAGAGTTCTTCTCCACTGATCTATCTTTATCTTCCCAACAACCCTGTTAGGCAGGCAGAGTCTATGACTGGCCCGTGTTCACCCAGGGAGCTTCATGACTGACTGGGAATTCAAACTTAGGGGCTTCCAGTTTGACATGGTAACCCCTCCACTGTATGGTAGCGATGGTGGTTTATTTAAATTACTGACTCTGGCAAACATATGCTTCATCGTGTCTTTAGAATGAACTGGCATGGTCAGTGTTAATATATTAAACTGTGGGTTTAAAAATGTTACAGTCCAAGTTTTTTAAGATGGAAAAACTCAGGTTCTGAATGTTTAAATTTTTTCAGTGCTCTGAATTTCAGGAGGAGTTGCTTCCCCTGCAGCCCCTGTGTTCACACCTGTGGCAAAAGGGGCAGAAACAGACTTAGGGTGGTTTAGCCGTCTCTCAAGGTCCACCATATGTCTATGAAGAAGGAGAACTGGTTCTGTTCTCCCTCTCCCCATCCCAATGTCAGGGTGGGGGTACTTCCACAACAGGCAGATGGGATGCGGGAGTAGAGACCTGAGAGGCGGTGATAACAAAGAGGGGAGAGCAGCTTATGTGAGAGAAAAGCTAGGGGTTCCTTTTTCAAGATTCCCAATCCTGGGTCTCTTCATTTCCTTACTCACACCAGCTCTGCCCAAAATCTGCTAACTCAGATTCTGCTAACTCAGAATCTGCTTTTGCCATTTTTGGTTGTGGACCCAAAGGGGGTTTAAATGTGCTGAAGCAAGCCAGGGTTTTAAAGGTAGCTTTAAACTATTACGCGTGTTCCCATTCACCCAAAGTGTTTTGATTTTGCATTTCTGATGTACAAGCAATAAACATCAACGGTACTGTATGATCAGACTTGCATAACTTCATATCTTGGTTTGAAAACTGGCATCTAGTCCTGGCTTGTCTGAGCACACCGAGCTGTAATCCCAGGTTCGGACGCTAGGGAAAGATACTTTTTTATAGTTTGTTTACCCACTCTGGACAAAAGAGGTCAGCAAAGACCTTGCTATGTACATTTGCTAGCTACAACGATGTGAGGGCCGTTAGGAGATTATGTGTATTCTGAGTGGGGTGGTGGTACACTTTAGATTGTCACATTCAGCTGTACATCTGGCAAACTTAAGACAACATTTCTAGTTCTCACTGGTTTTCTCTTTTTTCTGCAACAGGAGAGCCCCGCTTTCTGATGAAGAATCTAGCACTGGCAGTTCCCAGCATCTGGGCTCCTCTGAGTTCTGTGTTGGTAAAAGCTTTTCCAAGGTGAGGGCAGGTGGTGGCTGCAGCCTTGCTTAAAAAAGGAAGACTTGGCCTTCACTGGATCTTTAGCCACCTAGTTAGCTTGCTGTTTTACCAGGAAGACTGTCGGCCTGGACCATTGTGCAGTGAAAACTTGTGGAATGGGATCATGGCTGCAGACTTAGATGGCTTTCAGGGGAGATTCGCAAAGGAGAGTTGTGGAGGCAGGCCAGATCTGTCCATGGCTATTGGCCATTGATCATCTCTCTCCGGCAAAACAGGTGCAGAGAATCCTGACTTCAAGTATAGGCTCATTGGACCAGAGACTCAGGAAGGAAGGGATCTTGGCATTGTGGTGGACAGCTCCATGAAAATGTCGGCTCCCTGTGCAGCTGCCGTGAAAAAGGCAAACACCATGATAGGCATAATTGGGAAAAGGAGTGAAAATAAAACTGCCAGGACGATACTTTCCTGGTGGATTATTGAATGAATCCATCTGCTATAGGCAGTCTGTGTGAATGCCACATGTTGGGGTCAGCCTGGGGCCTTTGAACGGAGTTTATTTGTTTAAAGGACTTTTAATCTCTTCTCAGCCAACACAGGCAGGCAGAGCAGCTTACAGCCAGTAGGCGTACAATCTAAAAAAGGCATGATACACGAGGAGCAAGGAATGGGATGGAAGAAGAAGAAGAAATGATCCTGTAGGGCAGGGATGTTTGTATGGTTATCTTGAGCTAAAGTTGTGCAGCAGGTGAAAAGGAACTGGTGGTCCTCTGGTGGACTCTTGTCTTTCCTGTAAGCTCGCTGGGTGTCCGTAGGTCTCCGGCATACACGGTGAGGGATGTGATCCTGACCTTCTCCCGTCGTTGCAGGTGGAGCTCACTGCAGTTTCGAGTAGTGGCAGCAGCGCCCCAGGGTTTGAGGCAGAGGGCATAGTGGAGAAGGAACTTGGGCCCCAGCCGGAGGAGCAGTCCCGTGAGCCGGACTTCAGCGGGAAGGCCTTGAAGGGCGGTGATGCCAACCCAGGCGAGAGCAGAGAGGCTGGACCTGCGAAGCCGGAGAGCAGTGGCCCGGACTGTATGTGGCCCTCTGCTAAGGAGGCGGTGGACGTCAGCCCTGCTTGCCCAAAGGCACTGGAGACTGAGCATGCCGGGAGAGAAAAGAGCGCCCCGGCTGCCACCACAACCCCGGCCGTGGCTGCCACTGCCGCCGCCGCCACCACTGCCGCCGCCACCAGCTGCAGTGCACTGACCTCCACTCCGGCCACCTTCACCTTGAAAAGTGTTTGTTTCTCGACATCTCAGGCCCCCGCTATGCAAAAAATGGCCCTTTCCTTCCCCCCTGGAGCAGTCCTCGCCCCCAGCCAGCCTCTGGTTTATCTCCCGCCTCTTCCAAACCCCCTTGGGGTCTCCTCCACGCTCACCTTGCCTGTGTTGCCCCCCTTCCAGCAGGACCCCTGCTTGCCCGGCCTCCTTGCCTCCTCCGAGCTGCGCACGTACCCTTACGCCTTCTCTGTGACCAGGCCGCTGCCCGCGGAACCCAAAGCGGCCTCCGTGGAGGCGAGCCCGCTGAACTGCCCTCCCTCCTCCGGAGAGAAGGCCGCCCCTGCACCCACCGGCCCCTCCCCGGCTGCCAATGGCCCAGACCTTTCCTCCAGCGCCCCGGCGGCGGCTTTGGCAGCACCCTGCACCAGCACGGTCCCCACGCCAGGGGCCACCAGTGTCCACACCAGAGCTCCGGTGGCGGCCGTCCCAGAACAGCTGGCCACCGGGGTCCTGGCCTCCATCTCGCCACTGAAATCTCCCCCCCAGTTGGAGCGAGAGATGGTCACGGCCTCCCCCGAGTGCAGCGAGATGCCCCTCGACCTCTCCTCCAAGTCCAACCGCCAGAAGTTGCCTCCACCCAGCCAGCGCAAGACACCCCCCATGCCCATCCTGACCCCCGTGCACACCACCGGCAAAGCCCTGCTCACCACTGTCCTTTCCAAGTCCCAGCGGGTGGCCCAGGCGGTGGGCAATCCGCCAGCTGCCACCGCCGCCGCCTCACCCTTTGTCATCTTCCCAGACTTCTTGCGCAACGGGGAGCAGGCCTCCTGGGTGAAGAACTCGACCGCCCTCATCAACGCCATCCCAGGCACCTACGTCGGGGTGGCCAACCCAGTGCCGGCCTCCGTACTGCTGGGCAAGGAGTCCAGTGCCAGCTTTGGCAGGGACTCCCGCCACCTCCCCAAGCAGGAGCCCATTTCCATTGTTGACCAGGGGGAGCCCCGGAGTGCCGCACCCCCCGCTGGGAAGAAGAGCAGCACAGAGGGGCAGCCAGAGTGCCCCAAGCAGCTTCACCATGGCCGTGGCACCCCGGGCCCCCCCATCCGCCCTTCCAAAGAGCTGTCCCTTTGGAGCCCCGCTCAGGGGAGCACCTACCCTCGCTGTTCCCTCAATGGGAAGCCCGCCAGCCCCCAGCTGCTGCCCGTGGGGTGGTCCCATTATCACCCCGGGCCCATGCTCTCCATCGGCATCTCTGCAGCCGGGCAGCTGCCCCCCAGTCAAGTGGGGCTCCCCAAGCCGGTTGGCGCGGGCGAGCCAGCCGTGTTCCCCGCCGTGCAGCCAGCGGAGCCTGCCACGGTGGCCCAGAAGGGCCCGGACACCCCCTCGCAGGGCAAGGGCTGCAAGGCAGCCCTGCCCAACACGGCGAGCCCTCTGTGCACCTCCCCGGCACTGCAGACCAACCTCCCCGATGCCCGGGGCCCCAAGGGTCTTGCTCCCAGCTATGGCTCCGAGAGGTCGGAGACTGACTCGGCAGCCGAGACTGCCCCCCAGCCTGAGGCGCCCCCCGAGGGCTGCAGTCGCAAGTGTCCTGGGGACACCAAGCCGAAGAGTCAGTTCCTGACCGCCTACCTGTCCCATGGCCTTCCTCTGGCTAGCCAGCCGAGTGCGCGGACCGCCTCCGAGCCGGCCTCCCCGGCGGACAGCCACTGCAAGGACCAGAGGTGCGCCCCGTCCCGGAACCAGCTGCAGGCGGAGGTCCCTCCCCGCACCGTGCATCAGGTGGACCTCAGCCGGGTGAAGAAAGAGCGGGTGGAGCCAGAGGTGCCCTTCGCCGCCTCTGCCTGCCTGCTTGCCAGGGCTGCCTCGAGAGACCCCCCGAAGGCACGGCTTAAGGGGGTGGCTCACATCAAGGTGGAGGGGGGCTTTCCTTGCAAGGCCAAGCGGCAGCATGACGGGCCGGACCGGCCTGCTCACAAGAAGATGAAGTGCCGGGGTGCTGCTGAGGAGTCCATCCCTCTCTGCAAGCCGAACAGCCAGAACCCGCATGCTCGCAAGGTGGGTGGCACGGCCGGTGGGGGGACTCGGAGCCCCTCCAGGGGGGAGAAGTGGCTGGGGGTGGACTGAGGGTTGGGGGCCTCCCATGAGGACTGCTGAGTACCTTCCCCTTCCCTAACTACTAAGGAACACATGGAAGATTAATAGCGCCTGCTTGAGATTAACCAGGAACACTCCCGAAAGGCTATTAGCGCTTTTCGGGGTGGATGGAACGTTCTCTGGGACTTCTGGCAGAGCTGGAGAATGTTTTTCGTGATAAACCCATGTTCCTTCTTCAAGTCATTCCGTCATGAGCATTGCAGTACGTACTTGCACGACCCACAAGCGGGCAGGGATAATCACCGTTGTTACGATTCGCACGATCATTGTTTGTTGTTGTCATGTGTTGTCAAGTTATCACTCCTTATGGTGACCCTATGAATGAATGCCCTCTAAAATGTCCTATTTGTGACAATGCTGCTCAGCTTGGCGATTGTTACTTCAGCGTCTTGCTTTGCTTGGATATTCTCTGATTATTACTTAATTTGCAAACCAGATCCCAGGAAAAGAATTGCATGACGAGCATCCCTCTTGGGCTGTGTTTCTTTATAGCAGGCATGCAGAAACACTGGGCCAGGGGCCAAATCTAGCCCTCTGGATTCCCCAGAGGTCACAACCCTTGCTCTGATCTTGTCCCCTTTCCCCTTCCACTGGTCGTTTGGTGGTTTCGCAGCTTTTGTACTGTTTTCCCCATTTTGAAAACTCAATGCGCTTAGTTACTGGCAGGAAAACTTCTCAGGCCCATGACCACCATTGGAACGTGGGCGCGGAGGGCCTCTCCAAAGTGGAATTTGCCCCCTGGGACGGGAAGGGATTCTGGAGTTCTGCTTCACGCATTCAGGACGCAGCCAAGTTGTGGCTCTGTAATACTGGAGAAGCCAGGCAGCACATGGCGACAGCGCATGAGTTCCGGAGAGAGCCGCTGGAGCATTTCTGCATGTGTTCCAGCCATACCTGGATGCCCGCACCCTCCCTAGGGCTTGCCTTGGCAAGCATCGGGTTGGGTGCTTTTTAACTGGCAGACAGGCAAGCCATATCAGCCCCAGCAACAGATCCCATACCTCCTTGTGATCTCTTGATGATCCTACCGACAAGTTTTCTTCTCATTTCGTTTTGGTGCCCGGGATGGGATTAGGACTCCTGCCCCTGAGGCCTTGCCTTTGAAGCGTCTTTCCCTGGTGCTAAGGGGGCTCACTTCCAGCACAGGTCAGGCAGGAGTGGGGCAGAAGGTCAGCTGGAATCTGTGGGTCAGTCTGTGGGTGACTTGTGCTGGGTCAGCAAGGATTTCTGACTCCCAGTGCAGAAAGTTTGGAAGGAAACCAGGTTTGTATCCACGCTCCAGATCGGGCCCCGCAAGCTGATTCCTAGGCCGAGCGCATGCTCAGAGGCACCAGTTCTGCATCCCTCTCCCTGACCCACTTCCTCCTCCCCATATCTTTCTTCCAAGATCCACCAACTTTGCATCTGACTGCATTTGGTGGGTCTTGGGGTGCAAGTCAAAAACACAGTGGACCTGGCAAGCCTAAAGCGGAGCTGCCGAGCCTCTTTCAGCCCAAGGGAGCCCCTGCGGGTCCTGTTCCAGCAGGGACAGGTGGGCAAAGATTGAAAGGCAGCGGGGAGGGGGGTACCAGCGCACGTTAGCTTTAAGTTCCTACTACCATTGAGTGAGTTTTGGGAGAGGCATTCATTGCTACCATTAGGGGTGGGGGGATACATGCCCAAATTGGAAGGGCCCCTAGCAGTCAGGGGAGGGGGCCAGGGCCGACTGGGGCCTCTATCATCCCCAGCAGTCGTAGTCGACTGAATGGGCACATTGTGTCTCCACATAGTTTGGCCTACAGCTCACATGATTCCTCAACACGGGATGCTGGCTTGGACCACCTCCAGGTGGATTGTCCATCCTGGCCTTGCGGTGCAAAGAGGTCTTGGCCAGCTGGCTGTGAAGCTCAGAAAGGCCGTGAGGGCTGAGGATGCTGTGAGTTGCGCTCCAGCGTGGAGTGCACCAGGTTAGGGGAGGCAGTTTGGGGAGACCAGGGTTGTCATTCTTTTGTTCCTCCTGGAGTCTTTTTCTGCTGCATATTGCAGTCCTTTTGGTTTCCTTCCATGTCTTTATTTTGAATTGTCCTATGTTTTTAAAAAAATCATTTTATTGGGGGTCAGATTAGTGGGAAGTGTGGAGAGCAAGTAGAGAGAGAGTTTTAAAGAGCCTTGCAAAGCGGCCCCTTGACATATCTCTTCCGTGTCTTCAGTGGCGAAAGCATCACGGTGACGCCCACGGGATCAGCAAGCGGGAGAGCCGACTGAGCTCCACGAAGGACCGGGGCAACCTCCGGGCCAAGCGCAAGCGACGGAAACCGTCCCCGGGGCGCCGCGGGCACAGCTGCGAGGAAGGTATTGCAGTCCAGCCTGGAGCGGGCAGCTCCCCTTCCCAGAAGTGCCTGGACCCATGGAATGCTCTCCCCAGGCCTGAAGGCGCTCGCAGGGGTACCCCTTTTGAGCAGAGCACAGCCCGCCTTCGCCTTCCTCTCAAGGAAAGAGGGCAAGTGGGGAGGAGCCATTATCCTCACAACAGGAAGTGACCAGCTCAGGAAAAACCCTGACATGGCTCTCGGGAGGGACGCTTGGTCCCCTTGGGAATACCTCTTCCTGCCTTTTTCCTCCTCCTCTTGGCTTCCTTTTAAACAAATTAAGTACCTAGTCCCTTTTGTTGATTTATTTTATAGGTAAAAGGGAAAATGTGCAAGGGGAATTTTTGCAGATTGCTCGGGAACTAGTAGGGCCTGTCCTGCATTTTCTGGTCCTGACCCATGGCCAAGAAGGCCCTGGAATGATGGACTGTTTGGGTGGCTCAAGGAAGGGGGAGCACGGCAGTGCCCCTTCCCCTCCTCACAGTGCACACGCACTCTGTTAGTGGAACTGTGGGTGAGGCAAGTTGTTGGGCCACAGAGAAGCTGTGGAACAATTTAGAATATTTTTATTGGCCTCGCACTTAGTTATTTTCTGCCAGCAGAGAGCAAAATCATTTATTGCACAGGCTAACCTGGCCATGCCCTCGGTTCCATGGTTTCCATAAAACGGTGCTGGTTTTAACAGTGATGCTGGAGAAAATGAACTTACTAAAGGCATAGTCCCATGCATGTTTAGACAGACCTGCAGCTCCCAGCTTTCCACAGCCAGAAGGGAACGGCTGGGAATTGTTGGACTGTTTTCTGACCTAAACTTCCGCTGGGTTGCTCACTAAAACTGGCCTCATGCGTTTTGATGTGCACAACAAACATAACTTTATTACATGGTCTCCCAGGAGCCCCAGCAGTCTTCAGGTAGGAAGAGACTGGTGATAGTTACCATCTTGGATCAGGAGGGGCTTGCTTGCCGTGCCTCATAGCTGGCTTTCTGTTTTGTGACCTGCGGTGGGGAGCAGGCAAGCCAAGCCATCATCAGGCTAATAGTTGTGTGTCTCCAGAGTGGAGTGAGTTTTCAGATCTCTCCGTGTCTCTTTTTTACTCCCCGCTCTCCCAGCTTATATTGAGAAGAAAGCAAAGAACAATTTTCGGGACTTCATCCCTGTGGTGCTGAGCAGCCGGACACGCAGCCAGTCAGGTTGGTAACTGAGGAAAGGCGAAGGAGCTGGTCTCGGGGACAGAGGGGCATGGCACATGTGTGGTCTGTCTGAGAAGCTTTGTGTAACCGTATCCTAGTACCCCTCGACTTGCAAAAGCTGGCAGCACAGGCGATCACGTTGTTTGGAACTACCTTCTTTTGAAATGGAGAATACAAGCTTTCAAGTTACACAACCTTGTTGAGACTGAAGTTCAGGGGAAAAAATAGGGTGTAGATATTTATGCTTCCTTTGTTGTGGGGTATCACAAGGGGGAGAGTATTACGAGTGGAGAAAATGACCTCCCCAGAAGGAAGTGGTTCCCACACTGAGTTCATAGACAGAGTCCGTATTCCTGCTGTGCTGCAGTCTTTCCCTTCTTCCTACTTGCAGGAAGCGCGGGAGGGTCTTCGGCTAGCGCTTTAGGAGAGTGCGATGGAGCTGGACAGGAGGTTGTGCCACTGCTGGAAGAGGAAGATGAGAACGACGAAGAGGAAGAGCTCTCCTTGAAGCACCGCAGGCTGAGAAAATCCCACCGCCTTTCCCCTCACTCTAGCTGCAAAGACAGAGACCGAGACCAGTCTCGGTCAGAGAGAGGTACTTTCCACCAGGGCAAGAACAGGGCACTGCCATGGCAGGTAGAGGCCTCTAGGCAGCTGTGGAGCCGCAAGGAGGTGGAGCAGGAGAGCGGCCATGTCAAGAGAAAGAAGAGGAGACGGCAGAAGAGCTGGAAATACCAGACCGGGGAGTACTTGATAGAGCGGGACAAAGAAGAGCACACAAGCTGTTGCCATAAGCGGCGGAAATCAAAAGCAGGTAACTTCCATGCTGTTGATAATCCCAGACGGGGGCTTCTGTTACGTGGCTCTCTGGCAGCCGTGCATATTTAGCAATTTGTGTATTTGCTATAGGCGACAAGGCAGTCCGATACAGGTGAGTGGACACGCGGCCAGAGAAGGCACGGATGTCTCGCCCCTTCTCTGCCGAGCCCCTTTGTAGAAGGCTTTGTTCACTGGCCTGTTCAGAGGTGGTGGCCCATGTTTCGAAGCTGCCGCGGAGCAAACGGAGCACAGAGAAATAATTGCAGGCTACGGGCTTCTCCGCCGTAATTCAGAGGCTGGATATTGCTATTTGCATAAATCACGCCCCTGTCTGTATGGGTCTGCCTTGCACAATGGATTCCCCTGGACATGGGATTTTGCTGGGCTTTACCTGCAAGTGCGAACTCTGGTCATGGAACCATAAGGAAGGGCTAGGAACTCATCCGGCCCCAATTTCTGGGCTGGCGCAGCTCTTGGCATGAATTCCGCCCCATCTGTGTATGAAAAGGCTCTGATGGATTCACACCCCACTTTATTTCAGAAGACCTTTAAGGAGGCGAGAAGTTTTCTGCCTCCCCGGCCATTTACGATGTACTGCCGAGCTGCCGTTCCAGGTAGGGGGACTCCTTCATGCAGATGATTCTGCATTAGCCTCCGTTGCTGGAATTTTGCAGCATGCCTAATAGGAAGGGATCCTTCTCTTTCTGGCATCTTTACTGCCTTGTTTAAAGTGTACAAGTTTTGGAAGGAGCCCTGGTCGTGCAACTTGGCCAAGCACATCCTGAAGTCATTTCCTGCTAAGCTGGTCTTCCAACACAGCCCTGCTCATCGTGAGCCAGGAGAAACTTCCGCTACAGCCTGTAACAGGCTGCGGCCTCCCGGCTTGCCACCTGCAGCCGCCGCCAGGGGGCAGGCTGCCCCTGCATAGGCTCTGCAACCACAGGCGGAAAAGGCCCCAGAGACTTTGCAAGGAGAGCTTACGGCCCGGAAGCCTGGAGGGTGTAGGGAAGTGAGGGAAGGAGGGCCGCCGGCTGAGGATGATGGGGAAATGCGTTAGCAGGAGAAACGTGTGCAGAACCGAAGTGCAGCTCTCCGGCTGAGCCGCCTGCGTGGCCGTCCGCAGTGGAGCTCCCGACACGTTTGCCGAGGGCCCCCCGACCTGCCTCTCCGTGCTTGTGAGTGCATTCCTCGCTGGTTTCCCAGAATGCTTTGCTTTTGGACATCGCTGGCCCTCTCACCCTCCTTTCTCTCCGGTGGTTGCTCAGCTGAGTCACTGAATGGGCCCAGACAAGCGAGAAGCTCCCAGAGGCTGGAGGCACCCTGCCGGACCCCAGCCCGCACAGTGCTAGGAGAGGAAGTGCCAAGGGCAGCCTCCTTGGGGCAGGGAGCATTTCAGCCACAGAACCTTCTTTCGTTATGGGGCTGCCCTCTTAGGGAAGATCATACGGTACTGCTGGACTCCTGCCCCAAGGGACATGGTGCCATGAACCGCCCAGGGAGTTCCGACTGTTGGGCAGTCTCAGAATTAAATAGACAAACATTCCAGCCTTCCCTAGTCTGGTGCATGGATGCTGGCTGGGACTGCTGGGAGTGACAGACCCAATCCCTGTCTGGAGAGCACCGGGTCGGGGAGGGCTGGCAGTGCGGAGTTCATCGTGAGCTTGGCACGATCTCCCGCATAAGAGGACGGTCTCTGGTGGAGCCCTTGGCGTGGGGCCTTGCTGCGGCCTCATCTCTCCCGCCTCTCTTTGGCTGCCAGACTTCAGGTATTGGGAGTGTTTGGGGCAGGCCCCACCCACCCAACCTGGAAACAGCTTTGCTGCTTCATAGCTATCATGGCACTCAATCTACATTAGCAAGCAGCCAGCTAAAAACAAGCAGGAGGAAGTGCTGTTTTGCAGCCAGGATGCTGCTGTGAACAGCCTCATGTTAGAAGCCTTTCACAGCTCCACACAGGGCAGCCTTTCCCAATTTGGTGCGTCCAGATGTGTTGAGTTACAACTCCGGGCTGCCTTGCGACCGCCAGAGCTACAATACCAGGACAGTGCAGACTGAAATACTGTGACAGCACAAAGAAAGCAGTGAAATTGTCTGCCACAAGAACAAAATATTGACTGAGTCTAGGAAAGACATGAGCAAAATGTATGTAATGTATGTACCATTAGGATCTTGCAAGTCAGCTGCTTTTCCTTTTGCAATTTTTAAAAGACTGGGACTGCTGGGCAGTTTCTTCCTCTGGACCCCCGGCGAGTGTGGGGTGCTGAGCATGAGCAACAGCTTCTGTAGCTCAGGAAGACAGCTCTTAAACCAGTGCTGCCCCCTTCTTTTCTGTCCCCCATCCTATTTTCACATTTCGGGGGGGTCAGTTCTGAGAGGGTTGTCTGGTGAGAGATGTTGCACTTTGTTCCTGAGAATCCTTCGCCTCCAGGCTTCACTGTCCCTCTGATGGCTCTCCCTGTGCTTCACCTGTCAGACTTCAGGTACCGGAAGCACAAGGGCTCAGCACAAGGCAAGGGCTCAGAGCTGCGTCTGAGGAGCCGGCTTTCTCCAACACTCCAAGGACATCTGGACTTCCGCAACGGATTCCTCTTGGATCACTCTGACTCGGCTCCCATCGAGGAGGTGCTAGAGAAACCCTCTGGGAAACGCAAATGCAAAACGAAGCACCTCTCAGGCCTTTGTGAAGAGGGGAAGGTAAGGTGCCTGTTAGGTGGGGCTGCTGGTACCTGTGTGAGGACTGAGCAATGAGATGAGTGATGGAGATACAGGCCTTTGCCCAGATAGGACACTTGCTTTGCACGCAGGAGCTTCCAGGTTTAGTCTCCAGCGTCTCTGCTTGGAAAAAACTGGGAGCAGGTGATGGTGGGCAAACCCTTTGCCTGAAACTTGCGGAGCAGCTGCTGGTCAGGACAAATAGCCTGGCTTCGCTTAGTGCAGCTTCCTTGCCATCCTGTAAATCGATCTCCCAGTGTTTTCATTGTTTTCTTTAAAGCAGCTGCATAGGGTTCCAGATTCAGTCAGAACAGAAGCCACGGAGAGGAGTTGGGGGACGATGTCAGTGCTTCCTCCCCAGAAATGCTGCTTGGGTCAGATGAGGAGCTGTCATCCCGCTTCCCATCTGCAGCTGCTCTTAAAGTTAAAAACATAGCACTGGGTAACTAAGTGACTAGTCCTGTATGTGACATGTGATTTATTTATTTATTTGCTTATTTATATGCCGCCTGTAACTGCCAAAATGGCTTCCCTAGGCGGCTCACACAATAAAACAACTCATTAAAACCGTTAAAAGAATAAAATCAAAAAACCTGAAAATTTGTGCCACTGCACTAGGCAAAGAAAGAATCAAGAACTGCCTGTGGATTTTGGATCCTTTGGAGTTTTGGTTTCCCTTTTTCTCTTTTAGAAGCAGGTACCCATGGGAATTTGGGAGACTGGGCCAGGGTGGTGTTGAGAACATGATTTCCACTGGGAAGTTAGGAGGGCTTTGGTGCTGTGCGGGAGCCTTCCCAGCCGGGTCCTTTTTGACTGCACAAGCTGCCTGGAATTGTGGTCCAAAATATCTGGATGGCATCAAGTCAAGATGGGCTGTTATATGCAGATCTGCATACTCATTTCTGCAGAACAGCAGAGGACAGTTAAAAATGCAGAACTGGGACTCAGGAGATAGTCCCACTTCGGCCATGGAACTAACTTGTATGACTTTGGGCCATTCACTGATTCTCAGCCCAGCCCACTTCACAGGGTGGTTGTGGGGAGAAGATTGAGGGAAGGAGGGGAATTATATAAGCCCTTGGGTTCCCTGGGAGGCCAAAAGGCAGAACATAAATAGAAAGACAAAACAGATAGAACACAACGCATGCAGCTTGTGGAATACCGATGGGGCAGGCAGTTTGTGCTGGGGAATTCCACCTCTTTTTGTATATACAAGAGAGGCCTCTCTCGTCTCCCCCACGCCACGCCACGCCACCCCTTCCCCATGACCATGTTCCTCCCCTCTCGACCTTCGTAGGCCAAGGCACGGGGAAACCAGTCCAAGATGCGCTCTCCAAAGAAGGCCCGGGAGGCCTGCCCGTTCAACAAGTCTCGGCAGCACGGCCCAGAGAGAGCCGCCGAGCCCCGCGCGGCTCCACCGGTGCCGCCAGAAGCCCGGCGCCTGATCGTGAACAAGAACGCTGGGGAGACGCTGCTGCAGAGGGCTGCCCGGCTCGGCTACAAGGTGCGTGGCCAGGCGAGAGTGTGGCGCAGGAGGGCGCGCGGCGAGGGGCAGCTCCGTTTCTAACGCGGGGCGGCCGTTCCTTCCCCAGGACGTGGTGATGTACTGCCTCCAGAAAGAGAGCAACGACGTCAACCACCGGGACAACGCTGGCTACACCGCCCTGCACGAGGCCTGCGCCCGCGGCTGGATAGACATCCTGCACATCTTGCTGCAGCATGGGGCGAATGTGAACTGCAGTGCCCAGGACGGCACCAGGCAAGTTGCGCAGCCCAGCCGGCAGGGCTGGGCCCCGGGGGCGTCGGCCAGAGGTGGTGTGTGCTGCTCCGCTGTGCCAACCTGATCTGCGGATCTCCCAGCATTTGGAAGCAAGCCAGTTGGGGGAGATCCGGAGGGGCATGGTTGTGACTGCCTCAGCAGGCACCCCCAGAGATCTTGGACTGCAGCTGCTACCATCCCAGCCTGCATGGGAACTGTAGTCTAAATATCTGGAGGGCACTAGATTGGAGAGGGCTGAGATATTGGACCAGGACTTGGGAGATCCAGGAGCAAGTCTCCACACGGCAGGAAGCTTCCTGGGTGACCCTGGGCCAGTTGCCGGCTCCCAGCTTAACCCACCTGACAGGAGAACCGCATGCGTTGCCTTGAATTCCTTGGAGGAAAGGTGGAATATGAATGTAATAAAAGGGTGCTTTTTATTACATAGTCTTTGCCCAGAACTGAACCACTTCAGGCTGCTGACGGGGGAGCTACGCACTGAAATGCTCTCAGCTTGAAACTGAGCATTCCAGGTTGCAGTCTGGGGACTTGCAGTCCTGCAGTGGACTACACTGCAGGGCCCTTCTAAACACCAGGAGCTTGCACAGCGAATCGAATGGCTGAGCCTTCCCATGCAAAATTGTGTTGACTCCGGCCAGCAGCTGTCCTGCCGGCTGCAGAGGCTTCCTACAGAGGGTGCAGGATCTCGAATTGGTGGCCCTGTGCATGAAGGAGGCATGCTTGGCACTTGCGAATCTCCTGCAGCTCCTGCTCTCATTTACTTCCTGTTCAGTGGTGGCTTCAGTTGCCAAGGAAGGTGGCGCCCACTTTTTCCACCTCAAGGACAGCTTGGGAGATCTTTGTCCAGGAGGAGACAGGAACCAAGAAGAATAGGCAGTGCTAAGGGTTGTGAGGATAAGAAAGGCCCATCGCTTAGTGGCAGAGACCCTGTGTTGCTCCCGGAAGGTCCAATCGTGGGCATCTCCAGGGAGGCCTGGGAAAACGCCTGCCTGAAACCTCGGAGAGCCATCGCTTGTCTGCTGCTGTCAGTAACATCGGGCTAGAGGGACTCAGTCTCCGGCAGCTTCCTGCGTCTCCCAGTAAATTCAGGAAGGTGCGACTGGTGTAGGCTAGCCAAGATTCCCCAGAAGTAGATGCGCCACTGGGCAGCCTTTGCAAGGTGGCTCCCTGCAGATGTCCTGGACTGCAGCTCCCATCTGCAGCACACCTGCGGGGAGAGGGCTGCCAGAGGCCCTCGTGCCTTGTGACTGGGCCACGGGGAGACCCTTGGCCTGCTGCAGCCATGCACCAGTATGGCATCCACTGAGCGCCCTCTTCCCCGGCAGGCCTGTCCACGACGCCGTGGCGAATGACAACCTGGAAACCCTGTGGCTCCTGCTTTCTTATGGTGCTGATCCCACCTTGGCCACGTATTCAGGGCAGACGGCCTTGAAACTGGCCAGCAGCGAGGTGATGAAAACCTTCCTGACGGGTAAGCCTCCTTTTTGTCAAAGGCACAGCAGCGGGGTGGGGGGGGGGCGGGTAGCTCTGGACCGCTCTTCCATGCGGGTGGGCAACCCATGGCCCTCCAGAAGTCTGGGCCTCCAGCTCCCATAAGACTTGGCCATCACAGCAGATGGCAGGGAAAGGTGGGCATTTCCATGCTGGAACGGGGAATCTTCATGGAGGAAAAGTGCCCAGTTTCCTGGAGGGACTTTGCTTCTGGCAAGGTGGTCACCTGCCGCATCATAAGGCTGGCTCCAAGGTGTCGTTTCCTTGAGGGAGGCTGTTGCTTGGATTTATGTGGGAGGGACGCATCTAGGACATGTGGGATTTTGCAGGAAGGAACCACAAGCAGGGAGCTGCAAGTCTTGCTCCAAGGAACTTGCTTGCCAAATCGATGAGAGTGAATCATTGCAACATCATTTTCTTTCCTTTCTGCAGGAGACTCTGCTCAGCCTTCTCCAACCTGGCACTCTCCAGGCATGCTGAGCTGCAAATCCAAGCAGCCTCCAGCCATGCATCAGGAGGGTGCCAGGCTGGGGAAGTCTGCTAAAAGGGAGGTTTTCCTGATCTTGTCCACCATGGTCCTTGGCTTATTTGTTCGTGTTATCTTGTTGCAGATTACCTCTTGGATCTGCAGGGTCGAGCTGATGGAGACCCCCAAACTGCCTGGGATTTCTACAGCAGCTCTGTTCTAGGTGAGGAGAGATGCGCGCAGGGCACAGGTTTTATTTATTTAGTTAGTTATTTAAAACATTCCTATGCCGCCCCCATCGCAACAAAGCCTCGGGGTGGCTCACAACAGTGAGAGTTTTATCTCACTCTCCAGCATGAGAAACAGCAGAACTGATGGACGTCCTTCCACCCTGGGGCAGGGGTGGGTTGCAGGAGGCTTGGAGCACGAGAACAGGGACCAGGAGATTAATACCTTGCTGTTTCGTCACTGTCCGAGTCTCTTGCTCCAAAACTTACTCCTGCAGCCTAATCACTCGGAAAGGCAGTGATCAGTAACCATTAAACTCACCAGCAGAAAGCTTAGTGGTACATCCCAACCCAGTGCCTGAATTTGCTCCTCCCAAACACAAAGCCAACTTCAGACCCTGGCTAGGGGAGGGGTAAACCAGAAGTCTGCCTGTATGTGCAGCTATCCTTTTTTGAGTGTTGCTGTTTGCTTCAAACGTTCCCAATTACTGAAGCAGTGAAGCAGGAGCAATTGGGACCGTGTTCACTGACAAACAGCAAAGATTCCTGGCTTCCTGTTCCCTTGCATCAAGCCTCCTAATCTACTAGGCTGGAAGGAGATCAAGGAAGGCTTGGAAGAAGGCGATCTGGAGAATTTGGTTGCCTTCTGAGCGGTTTTACAAGGGCAGCATTCGTAGTCACCCCTTCCTGTGACGTTGTTCCCATGCCGGCTGCATTGTCAGCTTAGCTCCCTCAGGCTTTGACAGAGCGCTGAGCCATGGAGAGCCAGCTCTGGGGATGGATGCCTCTTGCCGTCCCTTGCTCCGACCTTCTGGCCACGCTCACTTGGGAAAAGAGATTCTGAGTGCTTCTGAGCAATGGGGGGAGCAGGGTGCCTTGCCTCGGGAAGGATCCCTGGCAAGGGGCTCTTGGGCTGCGCACACTTTGCACGGAAGGGCAGGCAGCTAGATTTTCCCTCTATCCAGAAGGGACCGTAAACTTTCCATGGCCTGTAATACAAATCAGACAAACGAACACGTCTGCATAATCAGCCTTCCTTTGTATACATTCCTTGCATCTGTTCGGAATTTTTGGTGTCGCTTTTCCTCTGGTGTGCAAGTCCCGTGGCCAGCTAAAGAGCCCCTCCGTCCCCTGGACGTTGCTCGCATGCTTTGTGGTGCTCCTCCAGCCTCAAGGGCTAGCGACCTGGCGCGTGGTTTAGCCAGCCACGTAGCTCAGCCCGAAGCGCCCCGTCCTGCTCCCCGCCTGTGCTTCCCCGTGCTGCTGCCCGGATAGCAGCGCCCGCGGCCCCTGTGCGGCCTCTGAAGGCAGGCGGTGCGTCGTCGCTGGCCGCTGCTGGCTTTTGCTCCAGGCTGGGCTTCCGCCGCAGCCAGTGGTGGGGTTGCCATGGCGATGGCTGACTGCCCAGCGAGTGAACCGGGCCCAGGCAGGCCGAGGGAGCCAGGCCGCCCGCACGGAGCTCCTCCGGGGGCCCTGGGGCGGTTCCCCTCCCTCACCTGCCCCTCCCGCCTGTCCTGTGCCCCTTCTCGCAGAGGGGAGAGACGAGATCGGCTGTGACCTCCTGCTCAACCCGCCCGGGAGCTCCGATCCAGAGGAGGACGAGGAGCAGGAGTCGGACTGCTTCCTGTTTGAGTTCTCCGACAAGCAGCAGCTCCCCTGCTACAACCTGCAAGTGTCTGTCTCGCGGGGGTGAGTCGTGGCGCCCAGAGCCAGGCCCTTCTGGGGGGCCGCGCAGCGCGGGGGGAGGGCCGGTGGGGCCGAGGGCAGGGGCACAAGCCGGCCGGGGACAAAGGAGCAGCCTGGGGGGCCTTGGTGAGCTGGCTGAGGAGCGCCCCTCTCCCTCGCCTCCTCCGCAGGCTCGCACGGGGCGGCAGGGCCTCAGCAGCCGCTTGGGGAAGGGGCCGTTTGGACGGCCCGCCGGGGCAAGTGGCAGGCTGGCAAGCCGGGGGAGGCAGAGGGGCGCAGGGGCGGGCTTCGTGTGGGCTGGACCGGCGCCGCACGGGAGGCTCGCTTGGCATCCCGAGGGAGCACCGAGCTGGTTCCCGAAGAGCTGCGCGTGTGGCGCGGAGTCGGCCTCTGCAAAGCCACAGCTCTGAGCCGCAGCCGCGGAGACCCTGTGACTCCCCATACAGGCCCCCAGGCAAGCCTGCCGTGGGGCAGGGTGGTCTGCTGGGCACAGTTCATGTTACGTTTGCTAGGCAGAAGCCAGGAGGGGGCAGGCAGGAAGAGCCGCGTCGCAGGCAGACTGAAATAAGAAGGCCCCCCGGCGCTAAGGCTGTGGGGAACGTGGTCTCACTTGGCTGTGTGAATCAGAGCACAAACGGTTTTCTGGCAGAGAGTGCACAGAGCCGAGGTTTCCACTTCTCTAGACTGGGGGGTGGGGGGGACTTGCTTTTGTCAAGCTGAGGGGGGTAAAACGGGCATGAAGAGCATACCCCCAGCCCGGTGACCGCATTGCCTCTCTCCCCCGTCCTCAGGCCCTGCAACTGGTTCCTCTTCTCAGACGTGCTGAAGCGGCTGAAGCTCTCCTCCCGCATCTTCCAGGCCCGCTTTCCACACTTCGAGGTGACAACCCTGCCCAAGGCAGAGTTCCAACACCAGGTGTCCCTGAGTCAGGTGCTGGCCCCCGAAGAAATCCAGGAGCACCTGGAGCCCCCCATGGCCCCGGGCGCGGTAGAGACGGTGGAGCTGGTCCGCTACGAGCCGGAGCTGGTCCGGCTGCTGGGCTCAGAGGTGGTCTTTCAGGCCTGGAGCAGCTGACGGGGGGCCGGGACACTTCCTCTGTCGTCACCGGACTGCACTGCGAGGCAATAATATGGACCAGTGGGAAGGCGGCCTTCCCGCAGCCAGCGGCAAGGGGTTCTCCCCACGGCCCCCTTTAACCAACAGGAAGGGCTTGCCCCCTGCCCTGGCTGGGGCGGGGGAGGGCTAGGAAGCGGCCTCTTCCCCCACCCTGGACTCCGTGGCAGGCCTCGTGGCTTCCCGGCCTCTCTGTGGAGCAGCGTCCCCTCTCCCCTGTCCAGCCACCCCCCCAAGCTCTTCCAGAGTATTTATTTAATTAGTATTTAATTTGTGGTGATCCTTTTTTGTTCCTGCTAAGTCTGTATCACTGTGATTGGATGGGGGGGAGGCTTCCGACGGCCACCTGTCCCCGCTGGGATGCGCCGGGGGGCCAGGCCGCCACTTCCCTCTGCTTTCATGACATGGGGAGGTGGAGCGCTCCACGCCATCCCTTCCCCTTGCTTCGAGGGCCCCCGGTTTCTTTTGGGGGGAGGGGCTTTTTTCCGCCCTCTTCCCACTTTCTCCTCTCACACGACGCGGTCTCCTGACGCTCAGCCTGCCGCCACGGAGGGGCTGGCGGGGGCCGCACCCACACAGAGCCAAAGCCATCCAGCGTTCTCGGCCAGCTTCCTCTCCTCCTGCTCTGCCTTCCATCCACCCCCCCTTTTTAAAATCTCCCCTTTGTTCAATCAGTTCAGGTGGCGACAGCGAGGGCGGCCGAAGGCTGCCCGGTTGGAGGACTGGGGGGGGGGCATAGGTGGTACAGTTTTATTGTACAGGTGCTAACAAGGACTGGACAATCTCTTTCCGGCTCCTCCCCTGCACGGGGGGTGGGCAGGCGGGTGTTAACTTTTTTGTTCTTTTGTGTTGTGACCCCCCCCCCTTTCCCACTCAGGGAGTTGCATTTCCTTGCACCTCCTGTCCACCCCTACCCACCCCACTTTCCAGGCAGGTGGCCTCTTCGGGTCACCGAACCTCGGAAAAAGCAAACAGTTCTCTCTTTTACGCCCAGGCTTTCGGGCCTTTGGAGTGTGTGTTCCGGCTGCTGTTTTTTTTTTTTTGTTTTTTGTTTTTTTTTCTTTTCTTTCTGATTTGTTTTCTCCCTAAGCAACGCTTTGGTGTCAAAAACACTTATGTACAGAAAAACCTGCATCAGGGCTGCTGCCTCCTGCCTCGTCTTTTCGCGGGAGGACTTGCGTCGCTTTGCCGGAGGTGGAGGAACGATCGCCGCTCAGGGGCCAGAATGGGCCTCTTCCACCCGCTTTGTCAGCGAGGCTGAAAGTGGAGGCTGAAGCCCCACAAATGCTGCCCGCTCGCTGTGTCAAACCCTTTCGCGGGGGGACCTCTGGCATTTAGGGATGTCGCGGATGCAGTGCCTTGCTCTGTTCCTTCTTGGGACCAAGCACCTGCGAGTCGAGAGAGACCGACAAATGGGAAGGACGAGGTGTGGTGATGCCAGAAAGGGGGGTACAGAGCAGCAACCTTAGAGCAGAAGTCTTGTTGCCCTGCCTCTGGTCACAAAGCTTTGCCTTCTGCCTCCCTTTAAGTGGAGCGCTACCTCCGTTAGCCATTGTGCTTTGCTGGCAGATGGGTGTGTGCATGTGAGAGAGTGTGATTCCAAGTGAGAGAAATGGGGGGGGGGGGGAGACTGGAGCAGGGGAAACCCCCCTCCATAGTGTTATCCCAATTTGGGTTTTATTTTTTGTTTGTTTTACAAGGCAAGATATCGAAGCTTTCCCTAACTTCTTGCCCTACAGATGTTTCGGTCTACAAGACCTATCAGACACAACCTGCACAGCTAGTGGCTGGGGATGGTGGGAGCTGTAGTTGAACAACAGCCAGAGGGGCACTCTCTGCCTTGGCATGTGATTTTCTTCCCTCATCCTACCACCACCCACATTTTTTTCAATCGGTACCAGAGAAATCATCAGTTGGTAGGGCAGTCTGCCATTCAGTCGTCGAGTGTTGTTTTTACACACATGGACTGGGCTTGTGTTGGAAGGAACCACGCCGCAGAAAGATCCCCTCGCTCAGTTGCAGCTCGCTCCGGCCGCACTTGAGCCCGTCCTGCGGTCGAAGAAGCCCGCTCTCTCCCACACTGTGCTGCTCTCCGTTGGGCTATTCTGAAGTGGGATTACGCAGCGGGGAGCCACGGACGTGGACCTGGCATTGCGGTGCGCTTGCGGCGCTCTCTCCGAGGCCAGTGCCACATGCAGACAATGGCGGGGAGCATCGCTCTTGTGCTGGATTGCAGCAGAGGCCAAACACGCCCTGCGCTGCTGCCGCCGCCTCTGGAAAATCCCTGAGGGAAGACGGAGACGCCGCCGCACTTTCCCCACCCGGCTCTCCATGGAGAAAAGAAGGGGCAGTGTCTCCTCCGGGTTGCTGGGGCTTCGCGGGAGGAGGCAGTGCCGAGGGGCTGCCATGGCCTGTTCTGTTACCATCCCCTTTTCTTCCAGAGGGGAGGGAGGGAGAGCCAGTTTCTCTCCTTGGAGCAGAGCTTTGCCTGGAAACATGAACTTGCTTGCCTGACCGAGGGAAGGAGGGAGGGAGGGAGGGAGGGGCATGTGCATCGGGCAAGCCGGTAAATTTCTGCAACTCCTCAAATCACCCCAGCTTTTTACTCTTAAGAGCCTGTTTCAGGGGAAGCTGCTACACTGACCCAAGGAAGATGCCTGGCTAGACGCCTGCACATGGAAGACGCTTGCTGTATGATGCCTGCATCCCACTGGCCTGCTTTGCTTTGTGACACTCAGCACCGTCTCCCCTAACCTGTTCTCCAGGTGTTTGGGCTACAAGTTGCAGCAATCCTGGCTTGGCTGGGATGCAACTATAGCCTAGAGCACCAAGCTGGGGAGCACTGGTTTAGTGTGGCACTCGTTCCTGATCCAAACTGGTGCACTGGTGTGCCTTAGCAGTCTCCCAGGTGAGCCGGGGGCCACCTGGAAGTACTGCTGAACAAAGCCCTGGAAAGGTAAACGCCGACTCCAGCCTGGACCAGCAGTTGTTGGCTGTTCATGGGAACAAGCGGGCATGATCCAACTCATAAGGCAAGAGTGGGGAATGACCAGCCAACTTCCTCCCACTCTCATCCTTACTGGCATTCCCACTGGGGGGGCGGTGGCTCGCCAGGAGTGGGTGACGCTCGCTCCAGGAGGAGGCCTGCACATCCTTGCAGACACCAGAAGGAAGGGTGTTCGCTCCCCGTGCCAGAGCTGCAAGAGGCTCCATGGACTTTTAACAAGGTAGCGGCTGGATTTGACATCAGCTGTGAGAAGGGGGCTTTCTGCTGCACGACTGAGTAAAGTCCCACGGAGGAACGAAACCAGGCCTGCCCTCGATGTTGTTAATTTCCAAACATGGCCTCCCACTGTGAAGAGAGGTCCTTTAATTCTGCCCATGCCGCTCACTGTCACGGCTTTCCAGTGGGAAGGTGCCTGAGCAGCTTTCACGGTTACACCAGAACTAGACTTCTTACACCACACTCAGGCAAACTTGGAGCTTCACAACTTTTGTGGAAATGGCTCCAGTGTAATTCCCCACTAATTGCTGCCTTCCACCAGGGGCATCGCTAGGCACTTGAAAGATTCGGAGCCCGCAGGGCACAAATCTGCATGTACTAATTGCTAGCTCTGTATGCAGATGTGGAAAAAGAGGAATGTGTATACATTTCACAGAAGGCAAAGCCAGCCAATTAATTTCTCATCCCACCCATCATTAAAAATACTCTCCATCGATAAGCAGCATGAGCGGGATGATTCCAAACCAGTAAGAAAGGGGTTTGCCCAAGTTGGCTAAATAGTTGCTCAAGGGAAAAGGGCATTTTGCAGCATGTGTGGAGAGGAGAAACGCTAACTCCTTTTCTAAGCCGCAGTCTCCCTCGAAAACAGGTCCCCGCATGCTAACTAAACTGGGCGAAAGAGCCTTCCATTGGCACCGATGGACACTCATCAGAAAGACATCGGATCCACTTAATTTACCTGGAGTAGGGCCTGGGTCTCTACATGGCTAGGGGTACAGGGAATGAGGAACAGGTGGCAGATTGCTTAGAACCCACTGAAGGGGCTGGTTGACATGGTGACACTCCGTTCTCTCCGTCTGCTGAACTGATGGAAGAAAGAATTCTGGTTTCTAAGCAGGAAGCAGCCACGGCCAACCCATCCTTAACTGTCACCCGCTGAAAGCAGAGACGTTTGTTCACGTACCCACAGACCCCATCGATAAGTTAGACATCAATCTGGTTTAATTCATGGTGCAAAGAGTGCTCAGAGCCATTCCAGACATTCACACAGTATGGGGAAGGGGAGAACTGTCGGACAAAGGACCCCCGCACCCCGCACCCCCGTCCCCTCCGGTCTCCAAATGCACCCCAGTGTTGGGGTTGGGCACGTTCAGTCCTCGTGGATGTTGAAGAGTTTGGCAACTTCGTTGAGGTCCGTGTGCTCTTCCCCATCCTTGATGATCTGCAGGAGAAAGCAGAGCGCTAGTGGTTCGCCTGGCAAAGAGCGGCTTCTGCCACCGTGTGGCTACGCCCGCTCAGCTGAAGCAGCCTTCCCCAACCCGGTTCTTCCCGATACGAACAACTTCAGCTCCCGGGATTCCTCGCCCTTGGCTATGCTGGCAGGAGCTACTGGCAACTGAAGTCCCAAGCCTCAGATTTATGCCCACCTGGCCCTAAAGCACAGCTCACCGCAGCCGACGCCGTTTTGCTTCATGGCATCATTTCGTGTGGTCCAAAAGATGATCTTAATGCAGCCACAGAAAAGAGGTTATCCCAACACCTTCAGTGCTGCGACACCTTCCCCCCCTGGCGCTACCCAGTGCATTAGACTGCCATTCCCAGTATCCCAGTATGACCAGCACAGGTAGAGGGCATTACAGAAAAGAATGGAAAACCCAATTCAAAACTTCACTTGCATTCGCCTATGAATGGATTTCCTCAATCGTCACTCATAGTCCCCAGCTCAGCTACAATCATTGCACTGGACTTGGCTGTAATGAGGGAGCAACGGGGACGGAGCATGGAGACAAAGAACAGGGAGGCTCTACAAGCACTGCAATTACTGCTCACAGCGGAGATCAGACACAAGGACGCTCGGCAGAGTGGGGGGAATTACTCATCCACTCCAAGTGCTGTTTAGACCTTGACGAGAATCGCCGTTCGGTCACAGCCTCCAGACGCTCCATCTGGCACTGCATTTCGGCCGCTGACTCGATGCCCCACAAACCTACTTTTCAATCTCCTTGTGGCAGCGCTCCAGTTACTGCCTTTTGGGGTGTATGTATGAAACCCTTCCTAAAAGTCATCCATTTTTACTAACTTGGATGGAACGCCCCGTTGCCATGAGTTCCATGCCCTGCATCACTTCAAGAATCATTTCCCCAAAACGGCCCAATTCCTTGCTCCCTTAAGCTGCAAGATACCGAAGCAGAAAATGCACTGGGACACGAGCCTCCCTCCAACCAGAGGGCTGGATGCTCTTGATTCCTGTGCGAATGACTTGATTCTGGAGGAATCTTCAACGTCATGGTGACCGCAGGAGGTCCAGGACCTGCCCCACACCCCGAGGGCCGGTTCTGACCCCAGGACACATGCTGACCTTTCGAGCGACTGGCATCCGGTTGAAGATGTTCCACAGCACGATGCCCACCACCACCTTATCCCTGAGGTAGAAAATGACTCCTTTCCCATAGTCCTCTCCTTGTTCAGGAGCCTGCAAGCTGGAAGGTGAGGCGGCCGAAACCTTGAGTTCCGATGCTTCCGTTTCGGTTTCACTCTCGGAGCGTATTCCAGTTCCTAGAGGAGCGTACACAAGCTGGTCAAAGCCCTGTACAGAGCCTGTGTTTCCTTGGCCTCACTGATGGTATAAGCCGTAAATATGAAAACGCAAGGACTCATCACGACAATCCGCGTGGGCACACCCAAATGGAGGCTCCAGGAAGGCAGGCCATGGTCCTACTGTTCCATACAAACAAACCTGTTCTAGGAGATTTTGTCTCTGCCAGAAGCAGGTCTTTTGTAAGACTTGTAGGTTTTAACAGTCCATTCCCGGGACCAAGCTGTTGCAAAGTAGTTTGCATTATACAGGCAGAGTTCACAACCACATGTTTTGCTGAGAAAACTCGTTCCCTCCTGCCCCACGGACTAGGATGCCCACCCAGTCCAAGGGAGAGGAGCCAAGTGCCTCTTCCCACCCTTCTCACCCTTCTTCTGTGGAGGCACCAGCAGCCCAAGGCCCCACCACAGAACAGTTATGGACACGTCTTACCTGACTGCTCTGTTGCTGATTTTGGGGTGTCCTTTGCGGTTGCTTTAGCAAAGACCCCCACTGTGGGCAGGCTGCTGTCTACCAGGCCGATGGCTTCATAGCCAACATCTGGACCCAGATCACTCCTAAGAGGGCCACACAAATACGGTTGTTAGGCTTGTGCAGAGATTATGGCAGTCTGCTATTTTTGTTCGAAGCATGAAGACGTTAATGGCCATCAAACAGAAAATGATGCTGACATAAACACTCTGAATCTTGCTACAACAGCCAGGGAATTATTTTGGGAGCCGATACACCCATCTCAGCACCAGAGAGACAAAAGGCAATCAGTATTTTGGGGTGTGCTTCCCTCTGATGCTAGGAAAAGCCAAATCCTGCCACAGGTATGTATTACGCAGGCCAGGACCAGGGCAGAGCACCCACGTCACGTGCAGACGCCCCAGGTGTGACCCTGGCATCTGCAGGCAGGAGCACGGTGAGCAGGTGCGCTGAATTACAGGCCTTTCCAGTGCAAGGAGGGGCCATTCGCGGCCCCCCAAACGTCTTGGGCTACCACCTCCATCAGCCCCAGCCGATGGTGAGGGGAGCTGCAGGGCAAAACCGGGAGAGGGTCTGCACGTGGCTGTTCAAGGGAAGTGGGTTCAAACTGGGCAAGGCTGGGTGGGCCAGGAGGGTGTGCATTACCAGAACATGGACTGGTGCCAGTAAGGCTTGGCTGCTCCCGTCATGTTTTCTCCTGCCAGTCTGCCGCTCACAACTGCATGATCGTGGTGCTCCACACGCCGCCTGCCTAGCTTGATGTCATAGAAGCACGCCGCGTCCCCAGCCTGAGGAGGAATGCAAGCACACAAAGCCAAGTGAGGCCTGCCCTGGGACAGGAGGGGAAAGATCACCCACGGGACACCTGTCAGCTCTCCCGGAAACACGCGGTGTCACTGTGGGCCTCCGACTGGGGACAGAATCATAGGAGGCTTGTGGGGTTTGAGGAATGCAGAAGCAAAGATGGGAGACGGGCTTCTTGGAGATGAGAAGGGCTGAATGAAGCTACCGCATCTCCAGACCTGGCTAACAGGAACCACAGTGGGGGAGCTGTAGAGTTCGTCAGCCGTTAGGAGAAAAATACCTGAACCTAATTTGTTGCTGCGGGAGGGTTTGGGGAAAAGATGGCATCCACCATGAGGACTAGAAGCTTAGCCTCTCCACCAAATGGGATCCCAAAGTGTGCCCATGGGAGCCACCAGATTCTGCAGTAGCAGCCATACATAGTCCAAGGCTTCTACCCCTAATCCGGCACGCTTGAACGCGGCTTCTCTCATACAGGGGACAGGAAGCTTTCATATATGCCCTCAGGCAGCTCAAGCCAGTGCAAGGAAATTCCATGCCACAGGACTCTCCACCCGCACCTGCCCACTTACCACCCAGATATTGGAGCGGGCCTGCAGCTCGGCATTCACTCGGAAGCCCCCGAAGTCAGAGTCCACCTCCAGGCCCGCAGACTTGGCCAGCTCCACATTAGGCTCCAAGCCCACTGCCGCCACAATGTGATCTGTCTCCACCTGAGCGGCAAAACAGCACCAGCTGACCAGGCCGTGCTTTATCGACACGGCACTGCCGAGATGCGGGATGCCGCGCAAGGCGCAAGACGGCAGGCTCCTGCCTCAAAGAGCTCGCAGTCTGAAACCCGACGCGGTGAAGGCAGAGCAAGGGGAGTGAAAAGGAAGCCGGAGGAAGGAGACGCACTGATTTCACAGAGGCACTTTTGAAAAACAAGCCTATTTCTAAACCATCCTCCCACCTTCACTTGCTTACAGCAGGGCAGACCTCCCTAACCCAAGTCCCTCCACCTCTCTGGGCCTCCTGCTCCCGAACGCCCTCGCTAGCACGGCTGGTAAACAGCCAGAGGGCTGGGGAAGGTGGCTCAGCCGCATCACGGAGACTAGGACGGGCCCCTTCCGTGCACCTTTCCCAGCCTCCCGCCCCGGCAAAGGCAGACAGAGCCACCTCCCTGCTGCCGGCTACTCACTTTCCTTCCGTCCTTCAGCTGTATCAGCAGCCGGTTGCCAGCAACAGACACGGACTTCACCACAGCATTGGGCATCACATTCACCCCCTCTGAAAGCAGACACAGGGAAGAGCGACGTGGCGGGGCAGCCGGCAACCCCGCTTCCCCACGCTCTGGGCCTGCAGGTCCCTGTGCTGCCTCAGTGGTGCCGGGCCACTGGCCCCTGCAGACCGGTGGTCGCTGGAGCCTGGGGGGCTGGATGCTCATGGACACAGCTCTCCAGGCTTCCGGAAAGGGATCGAGGAAAAGCTGCCCTGCGGCAGGCAGAGGCCACGTGGTGGCGGCAATCCTGTAGGCTTGTGTAGGCTTCGCTCCCTGCAGAGTCATTAAAAGGATTAAACAGGGAGGAGAGCGGAGGGTGTAGCAACACCATCCGCTTCAGCCAACAAGCGGAACAATTTACGGGACAGGCTGACCCACATCGAGGGGCCAAGCAGCTGCTGCTCCTGGCACTTGCTGGCTCTGCACTCCCAAACTCGTGCAAAGGGGGGCCCCTACATTGCTTTTCTGAACCTCTCGGGCTCAAAATCTGCTTGCTTTCCTGCTTGCCCACTGCTCCTTTTTCAAACATTCACATGGTGCCTAGAAAGCATTTCAGCACTTTACAGATAAATAACCAAGCACGGCGGTTTGGGATGGGGCTGCCGGCAGCAACTACAGTGCAGCAGAGAGGAGGAGGGACAGACAGACATCTCTGGGCAGCACTACTAGCAGACAGGTGAGGCTTGGCTGGTGAGCTGGGAAGCAGGCCAGGAAGTTGCCCGTAAAAGGGGAGATCTGTGGTTGCAAAAACCGGAGCGGAGCTCAAAGGAGTCGTGCATGAGGAGAGCCAGCCAGCCATTGGAGAAGTCCTCCTGGACCACGGGCCACCAAGTCTGGCATTCTGGTTGCAGTGGCCAGCAAGCTGCCTGCAGGGAAACCATAAGCAGGACGTGAGCAAACAGCCCCCTCACACCCACCTGGCCGGTGACTGGGGCATACAGACCTCTGCCTCTCTTCCTGGAGGCAGCATTTGGCCATCGGGACTACTAGTCAGATAGCCTCCTCCTCCAGGAATCTGCCCGATCCCTTTTGAAGCCATCCAAATATGTGGCCATCACGACACCACCTTATCGTGCTTATTCCACAGTTGAACTATGCCCAGGAGAGGCTGCAGTAGGAGCTACAGCGGATTTCTCCAACAGGAACGCCTCTGGCTGCACTGGACCGCAAGGGCCATCACTCCCAGCTAGTATGGCCACTGCGCAGTGGGCACCCAACGCATCCAGAGGGTCCCGTGTTCAGAAAAGGCTGAGCTACAGCAAGAAGGGTGTATGAGGCTGTGCCGGAGAACAGAAAGGGTGCCGAGGGAAGCCAGGAGGTTTGGAGGCGAGGGCAGCAGGACTGCACTGCAGGAACAGCAGAACCGGACAATTTCAAAGAGGTGGAAGAACGTGCCTGCACCATGCCTTTGGATGCTGGGCTTTCAAGCCTCGGCTGCGCCTCCTGGAAGTGAGCTGAGAAGCGGGCTGGTCGCAGAATGGCCACGAACAGAGACGACTGTTGAGACTGCTGCCAAGTGAACCATCCTTCACAGGAGACGCGGCAGCTTCAACCGAGTTGCGGCAGCGAAGCACGCAGGCCGAAGTGCCTCGGGCTGCTCAGGAGTGGCAGGGAAGGAGGGGGGGCTTACCTTGCATGACTTTGTTGGTGGTCCAGTTGCTCAGGTACTCGGGAAGCACCTTGCCCATGTTGCCGTTCTCCGGGAAGAGCTGGATCACCTCTAGTCCCCTTGACTGCGCTGCAACGGGGAGCAGAGAAGTGGGGGCCCGTCTGCATTTCTTTTGGGCGGAACGCGAAAGCAGGGTGTGCAAGGAATCAGTTTGGGGTGGGGATCTGCTGGATTCCCTGAACTCTGGTCTGCTTTACAGGTGCCCAGGGTCCAAGTTCCTGGGGAGCACTCCCAGAAGGGTGCGCACCGAGGACTGAACTCTACGCACTGCGCAGACAGCGCCCCTCTTCTGCACCCAGCACTGCCGCTGCCAGCCAGCTCCACTGGGTGGGCAGGAAGGCTGGTTGCTGGGAACGCGCCTGCCGTGCAGTTGCAGTGAGAGCCTTCAGACTTCCTTCTGGCTCGGGTCACTTTGCAGACTGAGCGGGAGAGGAAGGCTGCAGGTGCGAGAGGGAGGGAATCCAAATGGCGTTGTCCCAACCCCTTTGACACCAGAACATCTGAGTGCCTGCATATAAACCTGCCCGGGCTTTAAGTTCTGCTTCTGAGAACTCAAATGCCCCTTTCTCATCGGTGAGGCAGCTGGAAAAGGGCCTTCCTTGCAGGAGTGCACTTTGGGGAACAGCCTCCCCTGACATGTGCCGGTCACACTGTCATTGTGACCTTCTCGGTGTCAGATCAAGGCATGGCTCCAAGCATCCAGGAGATGACTCCCTCTCACTTTTCCTATTTGCAGAGAGGCTGTGGGTGCCACATCTCTTCGGGCTGACGGTGCAGCTTTTTATTGTGGTGCAGCTTCCTGAAGCTGCCACTAATTTGGTTTCTTTGTTTTTACAATTACACAATTAAGTTATCATGGCTTTTACTGTTTACAGTCAGCTACCTTGGGAATGAAAGGCTGAGCCAAGGAATATAAATATTTAACAGATGTACACACTGGGCCAGAACAGGGAATGCATACAATCCAGTTGAACTTAAAATATTCTCAAATAGAGGCAGGCTTCCCAGGGACTGGTACCAACAGCACACTCCGCGCCTGAGGCTTCAGCAAGGGCCATAAGTGCTGAGTTTCCAGAAGGGCAGCAATTCTGCATTCTGAAAAAAGTCCCTGACACACAGGACTGCATTCAATATGAAAAATAATCAAGGCGATACTGTCACCTAAAAGGTCAAACTCTCTTCTTGCTAATGCCAGAGTGTAGGACACGGAATAATCAATTCAAGTTGCGACAACCCAGATTCAGGCTGGACATCAGGAAAAGCTTCCTCACTGTCAGAGCAATACGATAGTGGAACCAGCTGCCTAGAAAGGGGGTGGGCTCTCCCACACTGGAAACATTCAAGGTGAAACTGGAGAGCCATCTGAGTGGAATGGTGTAAATTGGTGTCCTGCAACAGCAGGGGATTGGACCTGATGGTCTTCTTGGCCCCTTCCAGCTCTACTATTCTATGATGCTATGAATCACACAATACCAACACAAGACAACTTGTGACAGCCACACCTCAGGCACTGAGCACCCCATGCACGATTTTTGCTGTCCTCCATGGCAAGTCAGGCAGAGAGCAAGAACGACTTAGCCGTGATGGCAGAGGGAGCCTTCAGATCCAGGACTCACACACCCAGGCCCTACAAGTTCCTGGTTTTCCCATCAGTCAGTCAGACTCACCTTTTCGCCCCAAAGCACAGGCCAACTCACTTCCCAGGAAACCTCCGCCAATGATAGTGATCGACTTGACTTCTCTGGACATTTTCTCCAATGAGCGGAAATCTTCAATCTGCAAAGAAACAGCAGTCCATTTCATTTGATACTCTTGGTGCATTTAGCAGTCACGTTTTGCATTCGAACCAGAAGGCTGCTGGGGGCAAGCAGAAGGGCTAGGAGCCAGTTCTCCTTCGTGTATGTTTGCAGGGGCCAAGAAGCCCACAGAAAACCTGCCATTCACCCCGAGGGTAGACATCCTTTCCATCATTTTAAAACAGTAATAACTACTCCCATTTACTTTCCAAAGATGTCCAACACAGCTAAAAAGCATAGTAAATGTATCAGAATAATAAACAATATGATAAATTATGGAACAATAAAATCAATAGCCTTGTAATTTAAATTTACACATGTATTTTCTTAAGTTAGCAGACCTCTTAAGAAGTGTAAGCTTAGCAGACTGGCTGGTGGATGAGCCTTTCAGAAAGATGCCCGCTGAGCATTACCTTCCGGAACAAAGTGAGCTTCTTTTGCACCTCTTTGCCCCCTCTTTCGATCACGGGAAGATTCCTTGGAGAGCCACCTGAGGGCAGAACACAGGGGCCAAGATCATGTCCACACTTAAACTGGGCGTCCCCACCAACCCCTCGGCAAGGCAAACCAGGCTCGGGTGGGCACCCGCCAGGGACCCAACCCAGCAGGGAGGGGCCCGTGAAGAAGGGCCCTTGGATTTGTGCCTCCTCTTCGCCAGGGCAGCCTGCCTGCTCACCCGCTGTGGTCTGCCTGGGCCATGATGGTGAGGAAGAGAAGAGGCGACTTGCCGCCTGCGTGCTCACGGCCTCTCTGCCGGTCAAGGGCACAGGCAGGAGCAATGAAAAAAGGGGCAGGAACGGGAGCAGCCGGCAGTGGCGGTGGTGAGCAGGCGGATTCACCGAGGGCATCTGGCCCAAGGGCCCTAAGAAACCTCAAGCCGGCACTGCCAGGAGACCAAGGAGAAGAAGAAACCTCCCAACACTCACCTGTGGCGATTAAGCATTTGTCATAGGAGATCTGCGTGCCGTTGTCGAGCGTCACCACATTGCCCCTGACGTCCATGTGGACCACCTGCAAGCCATCGCGCGTGAGGCCACTTCCTACATTCCAGGCCTAAGCGTGAGCTCAGGGGCCACCTGGCATTTTTGTCTGCCATTAGCTTGCAGACGGGTTCGGTGGGCAGACCTCGGGGGTCTCACAAAATAGAAAGCCTGCGGCCCACCCGGACTGGCAGCAGCACCCAGGGCCCCACCAGGGCTCTGCTCAGCCCTCTCCAACATGCCCAGATGGAACCTGCCCACCCCCCCCGCCTTTGGCTCACAGGCTCCCCAGGGAGGCCGGACCCTCGCCCCAACTCCTGCTGAAGCGGGTTGCCCTGCTGTTACAGATGCTATTTCATCTGCTCGATTTTTACGAGGACATGCTTTTCTCATTGATTGTTATTTTTTTGTTTTAAACAGCCACGGATTTTTAATTTATTTACCTGGAAGACAGGATTGAAAACCCTACGTAACTGAACCCAGGCTGTATTTCTGTTCTCATTCATCAACGGGCCACAGGACTGATGTGACAGGTAAACTCGACATCACACTCACCTTCCTTCCAGCGAGGACGGCCACTCCACCATTCTCTATGTGAGGCAGGTCGCGAGGAGAGACATAGAAAGACTGTGGCTGGAAATAAATACTGCAGAGGGTGGGTGGGTAGAAAGGGCAATGAAACAGAAAGAGATGACCCAGTGTAAGTGGCCATTACCTCAGGGCAGGGCCGTGAAGGCTTTTTTCTGCTGACGGGGGCCCGTGCCTTCAGGAGCAGCTGATGGGGGCACGGCCAACCTGCCTGCCCTGACCTCCTGCTTGTACACTTAATGCTGTGCTTTTCCAGCTGAAAAGGACACTTGGGAGCTTTAGGGTGCAGGAGCTCAGAAAGAATTAGAAATTCTGAGGAGATAGTGGAAGGAGGGGGTTCAACTGAAAAAGTACGGAGGTCATTTGACCTTGAGCTTTCACCAGGATCACAAGAAACCTCACTGCCAACCCCACTGCTGAATTTTCTGCCACAGTGACAGATGCTGCAAGCAAACAAGGTCCAAGGGGAACACACAGCTTATGTGAGATCAGAATCATGTTCCTGAAAGTGTCCTGGGCATGCAATGCCTTCTCCAAATAAGGTACCTGCTCCCCACACCCCTTTGCTGGCACACTCACTCTATTTTCTCCTGCCACATCACTGCGGCAGCAACCAATCTGGTGGAAACTGCAGTATGGGCTGTTAGGGCCCTGCCTGGTAGGAGCACTGCGGCCGCCTTGATCCCCAGATGTGGTCCACCCCTAGAATACTGTTCCAATCAGCATCGAGCCCAATGGGTACCAAATGCGATGCAGCAGCTCTTTCTCCAGGCACATTGCAGCGCAAGAATCAAATTCAGGCTCTGTCAATGCTCAGTCTTGTGGTGGCGGGGAAAAGAGAAACCAACCTCCGCTCTTTGCCATTCCACTGCTTAAACCGCAGAGTTTCAGTGACGTCTGGATCCTCTGAAAACCAGAGTTCTTTGGAAAGTGGAGGCCGCATGTAGGGAAGTTCTGGATCTTCAGATACAATCAGCACCTGGAATAGGAAGATTAACTTCAGAGTCTCAATCACAAACAGTCAACGGAGTCCAACTGCCGGCACTTACCCTGGGCGGCTGTTGCTTACCCTGGCCCCAGGATCTCGAGCCCGGATGGATCTGGCAGCAGCAAAAGCAGCGGTGCCTCCACCGATGAGTAGGAAAGGGACGTGTGATGGGAATTCGGGGAGAACAGTTGCCTCAGCTTCCAGGGCTGCAAGGAACAGCAGGCAGTGAAGGCATTTCCAAATACACACCTGAGCAAAACCCTCCTTCTTGCTGCACCCAAAAGAGGAGGAGGGAAGACGCAGACGGCTTTGCTCTTTCTGCAGATGCTGCCAATAGCTATACAAGGCACACAGGGAGAGGTTTCAAGTGATCTGAAGCCGATCGCCCGTATTTTCTCATCGGAATCCTTAGGCTGCCCCTCTGAAGTAGGTCGGCACTGCAGATGAGAGTCTACAGCTGACTAAGCCCATCTAGTGAGAATATGGCCAGAGAAGAGATTCAAACTTCCCAATTCACAGCTCAGTCCTCTTTAGCCTCCACTTCTTCCTCCTTGTACCCCAAAATGGAGACAAATGGACGAACTCCACCCTTGTAGGGTTCTTCTTTCCAGCACATGGACTGGCTTATTATTAGCCCGCCGGACAGAAAGAACCCAAATCTTAGCAGCTTCTGTGTGTCTCTCACCTGCTGAGCTCTGGGAGGCGGCATCTGCTTCTGGAAAGAGAGAAGAGGCAATCTGAAAAAATGCCCAGTGCAGGTAAACAGAATACATTCACATCACACAGATCCTGGCAACACAATCACTCTGTGGGGAAACAATCCTCTCAGGCCCCTGAATAACCAAGGAGATCTTTAGAGGCCTGAGGGGACTGTTTAAAGGAGATCTTTAAAGGCCTCCACATAAAGGGCTGTCTTGACCTGGCACCAAAAAGATGGCAAATTCTGTGCCAGGTGTGCTGCAGCAGGGAGGCTGTTGCAAAGATGAGGGGCCACCACAGAAGAGGCCCTCCTCCTTACTGCCACCCTCTGAGCCTCTTGCGAGGTTGGCACTCAGAGGAAGGCCCCTAAGGTTTAGCACAGCGTCCAGGTAGACTGCGCTGGGGTGAGAGGCTCCAGCAGGTACTGCGGCCGTAAGCTGCATAGGGCTTTATAGGCTGAAGATGGGATAGTTGGGTTTCACTGATCGCAAATGCAGATAGACGGGGATTTCACCCATCCTTTAATAAGGATTTACCAAAACTCACAATCTATTTCATAAACTGGGCAGAAAGGATTTGAGGTTAAAACAAAAACAAAATTAGAGACGAAACTACCTGGGAATCTCATGGGACACCTCAAATTCCACGCTGGAAGAAAAGCCGGCTATCAGTGTCATGTAATAAATGATGATGATGCCCTAAGAGTATGGGAAGCTGACCTTTAGCAAAACTTCACTGTGGTGCTAAGACTTCTGCCACTGGAAGACGTGCCAGCAGACCTCAGCCTGAGAGCCAGCATCCTAAGGCTGGGTGGGTCGAGAGGAACGTGCGACTGAACTGCACTTCCCCTCAGCCCTGGCGAGGGATATGAGAGTCACGGTCCAGCAATGTCTGGAGGCCACACAGTTCCCATCCCTAACCTGAAGGCTGTCACAGACAGAACATTTTGGAGGACTTCCATTCATAAGTCAGAGACAACTGGCAGCACGCAACAACAATCCTAACGCTGCAAAAGACAGGCCCATTGCAACCTACCTGACGGGGGCTTTGCCTCCTGCTGTGGGTGCTGACCCACGCGCCTGCTCTGTCGCTCTTTATCCTCTCTCAGGGTCTTGTACACCTAAAGCAACGAAAGAGGAGACATTTTGTACGCACGCGTCCCTGGCAAGGGGCAGGGTTCAGCTTTGCAAGCTTTGCATTTTGCATCCACTGGGGGACAGGCTTCCGGTCACCTTGCCTACTCAGGAATGTGTATGCATGCCACGGGCACGAAGCAGAACCCGCACTGCCAGCAGGAATGGGAAAACATCTGCGCAGTGCGGGTCACAAGTCCCGCTTCTGCAGATGTTTTGCTGAAGGCTCCAGGACTTAGGTGTTGAACAACGTTTGGCCAGAGCATCAAACCCCATTTTGGAGAAGCTCTTGAGAGCAGCATTCCAGGGGTTGGCAGGGCAATATCCAAAAGAGCATGACCAAAAATACCAGAGTATTTAGTATAACTCTGTTACTGCTGGTCACTGAGCCTTAGGGGAGCTATTTCAACCTTTCAGAATGAGGTGGGGTGATGGGGAAATGGCACAAGAGCAAAAATGCCTCTTTGGAGAAAAGGGGGTAGAAAAGAAGAATGCGGCACAGCCTTCTGGGCAACCCAGAGGAGCAGGCTGGGATCCCGGGAAGGGAAGAACTGGCTCCTGGGCCTGAACTAGGCCACGCTTTCTATGATGCTAAGTTAAGTGCACTAACACAGAACAGAAAAAGCTGACGGTATTAGCAGGCATTTTAGGATGCGAACTACTGGCAAGTCTGACATAGAATCAGGAACTATTGGCCTCTGGGGACAAATCCAGTTACCCGAAGGTGCCATCAAGCCAGAGGCAGGGTGTTTATGTGGGGTGAGGGCACGTAGCAACCTTCTTGGGGTCTGAAAGCAGGGGCTTGGGCCAGTAACCCTGCAAGCCCTTTCAAAGTCACCTCCAGTTATACTGGCCACTGACTCGAGAGGACTTCGTTTCTTACCAGTATGATGGTTCAAAACCTAATGGCCTAATTCCTCACCGTCCCTCATCCACACACACAAACACAATCAAATCCATGTTAGCACTTAAATGAGCAACTGAATTCTAAAAGCAGAAAATAAAAGGCAGCACACACGGCACCCGAGTAATAAGCCAGCCCAAGTCTATGCACAAAGACTAAATCTTTTAGCAAGAAGTAAAAACTACAGAGGGGACAGAAAAAGAAAGACCCATAGTTTCTAGCAAACACTGAAAGTGGAAGTATGCAAAGCTCTCTCAAGCAAGTAGAAAATGAAAACAGGTGAACTGTGTGCATGTGCAGATATATAGTTCAGGAATAATGGTTTTGTTAAATCCGTTCTGCCTGCGTTTTCCAAACTGGCAGCCATCTTACAGTCCAGCATCCTCTCACTGGTGCAGATTTTTTTTAGCAGGATTTAATCTATTTGCACTAATCCACATTAACTCGAGTGCCTTTGCTGTAAAGTGCATTAATGACTCTGAGAGGTGCTGGAACTCTCCTTAACCAAGTGAGGCATTACTTCCTAGTCAAGGTTCAAGATTCCCACTTGGGGCGTCAGGCACTAGTAAGCCTGTGGAATGGGAACAGATGGGTATGAATCTACTCAGGGAAGGGCTCTTTTCTCACTGGTAACACATACGCTCTGCATGCACAAGATCCCAGATTCAAGCCCTTGTATCTCCAGGTAAGAGAATTTTGGAGAGCGACCTCTAGTCAGAGTAAACAACAACAGATTGACTCAGCATAGGACAACCCCTTATATTCCAATTGGAAATACAGAGAAAATGGGGGAAAGACCACTTTCAACATCTCCCTTTATGTTGCACCCACAACAACCCTTTATGTTGTGAGCCGCCCCGAGGCTTTGTTGCAATGAGGGCAGCATATAAATGTTTTAAATAAAAGAAATAAAATCCTCAGTTTGGAGAATGGAAAGAGTTCCATCCACAAAAACCAAACAGATCAAGTGGAAAACAAAAATACGATGTTATGATATTGCTTTAGAATTCAGTTGCCATAAGGGACAACTTTGTAGCGGGATCAAGTTGTGAGAATTTTATCTGGCACACACGAAAAGACAAACTGCAGTGGAGCTATGCAGCACCATCAACACCCTCCCGGCCCTGGAACCAAATTCAATGGTGAGCATCTTACATAAGCGCCTGCCCCTGCGGCCGCTCCTCCTATAATTAAGAAGTACACTAGGCTGCTGCCGTCCTTTCTGGGAGCACCTGGAGATGTGAGGGATCTAGAAGGGGGTCTGAGATGCGGACACTGCAAAACTGCAGAGGGAGACAGGTGAGGGAAGAAAAGAGGAGAGAGGAAGCAAAGAGCTCTGAGTATTGAAAGAGGACATGGGAGCACACAGATCCTGGGGCGAGCCACCACAGATCTTAGTCGAAACTGCCGCAGCTAGAGGATAGAAGGTATCAACATGATTAAGCTTTGTTCACTGACACTTTTCCAAAGGCCTCCTTTCAGCACTCATTCATTGCAGATTGAGCTTTCTCCACAAAAAAGAAGAAGCCTTGTCCAGAAGGCCTTCCTCTTGGGTAGATGAGGTGCCAGAGAGGCTCAGTTCCATGGCACCCGCTGTTCCGCCAACATTTTCTGCAGAAGAGAAAATCAGGCTGGCCATTGACCTGCTTATCTATCCCACAGCTCCACAGCATTTCCACACGTATTCCCCATATGGAAGGGGAATTTCTGGAATCTGCATGCCATTCATTTTCTAAAATTGAGGGACATCAGATGGCATTCTGGTAGTAACAAGGAAGACCAAGGCGTCTCTGCAGCGAAAGTCATGACTGATGGCTTTGACAGCATTCCCCACCCCTGATGTCTGGAGTCTGCTTAGGGCCACATCCCATTTATGCTGAGTCCCCAGCCCTCTCTTTTAACATCAGCATCTTAGCTGAAGAGCCTACACACAGACCTCTCAGCCAATTACAGGCCAATGCAAGATAACAGGCTGTGGGGCAACCCTTGTTTATCTGTGTCCCAAGTGCCCTTCTGGTGAGATAAGCAAAATGACGAAAAGAGAAAATGTTAGCTCAGAGCCCGGACCAGCTTTGTTTTCTTTAGGGTATTAATATCCCTGTGAGATTTACTGGAGAAGGGGAAAACATAGAGCTACGAACAAAGAAAAGCATTTTTCAAAAGAAGAAAGAAGAACAGCCACTGGGAAGCAAGAATCTGGTCACCCTTTTATTGATTGGCAAGCCTTTCTACTTACATAGACCCCTGCTCCTAAGGTGGACAAGCCCAAAAAGAGGGCATAGATGGCATTTTCGCCTGTGCCCCCCGGAACACCAGAGCTAGAAGTAGTCATGTGTCTGCTGAGCTGAACTTCTAAGGGAACTTTCCATCGCTGACACAAGTTGCCTGAAAACACAATTTGTTAAGGAGGGAGAATTGTGAGCAACCTGCTCTCACATACCACCGTACTGACTAAAGCATAAAAAGACAGCTGAGCAATCACCCTGTCCAAAAGGCCAGCCATCCGCTGGCACCCTCTGTTTCAAAAGACCTTTGCATTAGGAACATCCATAAGGGCCAGCCCCTTGTTCATTTATTCGGGACATTTGCACTTTCCTTTCCTCAGGGGGCTTAAGGTCGCACATCACACATCCTGTGAAGATTAAAGATCTAGACAAAAACTTGTCCTTGTCACCCAGAGAGCTTTATAGCCTAACAAGAAGCTGAAGGAGACTTCTCTGGTCCAAGGGCAATACTGGGTCTCTAGCCAACATGCAAGGCAATGGAGGCCTTGCCATGCGTAAGAGACATGGACTGCCTGAAACCAGCCCTTCCCCAGCCTGGCAATCTTATGCATTTCTACTCAGAAGTAAGTCCTGTTGGCTCCAGTGGGGTTTATTCCCAAGTAAGCATGCAGTAGAAAAAGCACAGCCATGTTTACATATTTTGCTTAAAATGATTTGTGTTTAGCCTGTAACTATCTTGCAATAAGATGTTGATTTTAGAACTTTATACTTTATTTCTTTTTAGTTAGATTTTGTTTTGTTTTGGCAAAACTTGCAATGAAAACAAATGGGGAAAAGCTATTTATAGATAGGATGCCCTGCATATTTTATCAATGGAAAGTTCAGTCTTAAATGGTTCCCCTAAATAGCTCCCCCAAATCTCAAGGAATATGGAATCAATTTCCTCATTGATTTATTTTACCCATCTGTAAACCCCAAGAGCAATGCAGTACACATAAACATTTAACATTCACAACACAATAAAGAGATCGAATGAATCTTCAGAGAGATAAAAACTAGTTCAACCATCTAAAAGTTAAAATTAAAGCAGCAGTGCATAACTGCATAGTTAAAAAATTAGAAGAGGGCATAACAGCCTTGATCCAGAATTCCAACACACATCTTTTAAAAATACACATCTGCAATACACTTTTTAAAGCTGCAGCCGGGAGTTATTTTGACAGCTACAGATGAATGCAACGAAGCGTCCGCTAGACCCATTTTACTGATGGGAAGACTGAGGAGCGGGACGAGCGACGCTTCCGGAGGTTTCCCTCGTCCTTTCCTTTCTCCCACCTCTTGCAGGCTACCACTCACCTGCCCCCGCACGATCCCGCGACCTTGGGCCGAATGCCCGCACCAGCCGGGTAGCCACGCGGTACCGGAACATGATGGCGACCACGACTACGCCGCAACCCGCTCGGGCTCCGCTCCGGGTCTTCCCACTGCGCGACCGGAGATGCCTCCAGTGCGCACGCGCGCCGCAGGACGGCCGACCCGGGCCCCTTCCCCGCGCACGCGTAGTCGGCCGGCCGGCCGGCCGCTCTAGGAGCACGCCCGCCACGCCTTTCGGGAGGGGTGGGGGAAGAGAGGACGGGCTGGCTCGGTCCTCCAGCGCCGCGCCGGCGTGGGGACCATGCGGCTGCTCCCTGCTTCCGCGGCGCGCCGCCTGCCCCGGGCCGCCGCCGCCGCGTCCTCGGCTTTCGGGCAGCGGCCGTCGAGGCCCTGCCATGCCCCCGGGGGTAGCCGCGGCAGCGGCGCCCGAAGTACGCCCGGCGCCGGCCGGCCGCGGCGGCTCATCTCCACGCCCATCTTCTACGTGAACGGCCCGCCGCACATCGGGCACCTCTACTCGGCGCTGCTGGCCGACGCGCTGCACCGGCACCGGGAGCTGCTGCTGGGCCACGGAGGCGGGCGCTTTGCCACCGGTCAGTGGGGCTCGGCGAAGGGGTGGGAGCGCCTCGGGGAGGGGTCGTGGGAGCAGACGCGCGTGCTTTGCAAATCCAAAGGTGGTCGGATTCTCCCGACCTTTCTGGATGCGCCTGGTTTCATATTCTTGTGTAGGGTTTTCCGACTGCCGTCCTGGTTTGTCTTCTTTCTCCTTTTCATATTAAAGGGTTGGTGTCGCGTTTATTGCAAAGCACGGGATGCATTTTTCAGTCACTATTTATATCCCTCCGTTTTTTCTTTTGCAAGAAACCCAAGGCAGTTGATAAACTATAAACGTAATATTTGAGTGCAATGGCCCTCCTCACTTTATCTTCACAAGAACTCTGTGAAGGAGGTTAAGCAGCGTCAGTGACTGGCCCAAAGCCTTTTCTGATCTCTACATGGCCATATCTCCTGCTGCCATCCAGTCCGTTTTCTTTCTTCTGCCACAGTTTCTTTGCATAGTGTCTTTGCATGGGGAACATCCTTGGTTCTATTGATGGCAACTCCAGCTAGGGCTGGGAAAATTCCTGCCTGAAACCTGAGAATCAGTTAGTACTGATAATACTAGGCTAAATGGACTCACTATAAGGCAGCTTTCAATGTTTCTGAGATTCTTTATTGGCAGAGCAAGCTCTGAAAGTGTCTGTCTATGTCTACACCAAAAGTGGATGGCTTGTGACCCTCCACATGTTTTGGCCTACAGCTCCCATGATCTTTTACCATTGGTTATGCCAACTAGCGCTAATATAAGCTGTAGACCAAAACATCTGGAGAGACACAAGTCGTCCGTCCTCGATCCATGTAGCATCATTGTTGATGCTTTACAATGAATCCTTCTAGTATAAAAAAGCTGTCAAGGGCAGGAGGTTCAGGAACTTGGTGTCTTCTTGCACACCGTAGTTCAGGGAGCTGGATCCACTGGGTTGTTAGTCCTCTGCACTCTCCTCTTTTCGACCCAGGGACTGATGAGCATGGTTTGAAGATCCAAATGGCAGCAGTGGCAGCAGGCACATCTCCTGAACAGTTCTGCAACCACATCTCGGCCAAATTCCAGGAGCTCTTCACCCAGGCGGGCATCAGCTATACCGATTTCATCCGTACCACGGAGCCACGGCACAAGCAGGCTGTGGAACACTTCTGGGCCACTCTACAGGATCGGGGCTGGCTCTACCAGGCTCAGTACAAAGGCTGGTACTGCACAGCCGAGGAGAGCTTCTTAACCGCTTCCCAGGTCACAGAGCATCAAGATGCCCAAGGCCGTAAGCAGGTGGTCTCACTGGAGAGCGGTCACCAGGTATCAAGCAGGTCAAGGCTCTTGAGTTTCCAACAGGTCTTTCTGGACCTGCAGGAGAAGTCCTGCTTTGAGTTCTTCTTCGGCTGTTTGCAATACAGCCTTCTCTGTGATGGTTTCAAGCTCAGGCACTCCTGTTCAGCCCCATCTTCAGGGTATTGAGGGGAAAGCTTTTGTCTTTAGAAGGCCTTTTGGCCTTGGCTTTTGAGTTAATACCAATACTATTTCTCGCAATACGATTTTGACATTTTCTTTAAGCAACGTCTCTGCCACTCAGAGTAGTTTATGCGATAAAAAGTAAAAGAATACACACATGCATATACACACACATTGTGTGGATGTGCGAGAGGAGAATCTAGAGCCATTGCCACAGTTTTTTGTAGCATCACTCCAGAGGAAAAGATTTGATGGTCTTTTAAATGAGCACAGTTGTTAGGAACAGAAATTGAGGAACAGCATTGATCTAATATCGGTGTGGTGGTAATATTTCTGTGAGATATACTGAGAGACAAGAGTGAGGTTGGGAGAAAGATTGCAACCAATGTAGGGCAGCTTGGGAAGCAACTGAGACCCACACCAGAGCAGGGGGCATTTCAAGAGCCCCTCTTTTTCACACCCACCTGCTTGTTCAGCTGCCTCTTGCTCTGGGGTAAGAAAGGGGATTCAGGGGGGAGAAGGTCCATGGAGGGGGTCTTGGCGAAGTGTCCCTAAAAACCTGGAGCGGGCACAATTGGGGGTTGTGACCCATTGCTCTTTTGCCTCTCAGGCGCACTGGACAACAGAGGAGAACTACATGTTCAGGCTGTCTGCGTTCCAGGAACCATTGCTGCGATGGTTTCAGAAGAGGAAGACCGCCATAGCCCCCGAGCCCTTCCATCAGCAGGTTCTTCAGTGGCTTGAGCAGGACCTGCCTGACCTCTCAGTGTCGCGTGACCGGAACCGGCTGTGGTGGGGCATCCCCGTACCTGGCGACCCGACCCAGACCATCTATGTTTGGGTGGATGCCCTCGTCAACTACCTGACCGTCCTGGGGTATCCGAATGGGCATCGTGCTTGCTGGCCGGCAGCGTGCCACCTCGTGGGCAAAGACATCCTCAAGTTCCATGCCGTCTACTGGCCGGCCCTGTTAATGGCTGTTGGGCTGGACCCTCCCGAGCAAATCTTGGTTCACTCGCATTGGACAGTGCAGGGGCAGAAGATGTCCAAGAGCGTGGGCAATGTGGTAGACCCCGGGGCCTGTTTCCAGCGCTACTCGGTGGATGGCTTCCGGTACTTCCTCCTCAGGCAAGGGGTCCCTGAGCACGATGGGGACTACTATGACGAGAAGGCTGTCAAGCTGATCAATTCGGAGCTGGCAGACGCCTTGGGGGGGCTCCTCAACCGGTGCACGGCCCGCAGCCTGAACCCCAGTGGTATCTATCCAGGCTTCTCAGAGGCATGCTTCCCCAGGGACAGCAGAGGCTCTGGCAAGGCTTCAGATGAGGACTACAAGCTGGTGGCCATGGTGGAAGCCTTGCCTGGGCAGGTGAGCCACCACTTCGAGCACTTCCAGATCTACAAGGCTTTGGAGGCCATCATGGACTGCGTAAGGCACACCAATGGCTTTGTCCAGAGACATGCGCCCTGGAAACTGAGCCCTGAGGATCTGGGGCAGCTGCAGTGGCGAGACACCATCCTCCACATTACTCTGGAATGTCTTCGGGTTTATGGGACCCTCCTGCAGCCGGTGATCCCTGCCATAGCCGATAAGCTCCTTACCAGGCTGGGGGTGGGTCCTACAGAAAGGTCCCTAAGTAGCATGAATTTCCTTTCGCGCTACCAGGGTAAACAGTGTCACTTTGAAGGCAGGAGATTTGGACCTGATGTTGGGCTCCTGTTTCCCAGACTGGAAACAAACAGAAGCAGCAAGGAGCCTTACATTTTGAAAAGCAATTATCCTGAATAAAATGTTTGGGAAGAAGTGGCACAGGAAAAGCGAAGTGTTCTGAGGTGTTCTAGATCAGCTTTCCCCGGGTTCCTGCCACCTTCCAAATGTTTTGGATGACATAACGTGGCACCCAAGGCTGGGGGATGATGGAGGGCACCAGGTTGTATAATGCTGGTCTATTTTGTGCCTTCAGGAGGAAAACCTAGACCTTCATCTGCTGTTCTGGCAAATGGCTGCTGGCACAGTGTGCTCCATCTCTGGCATAATTTGCCCTTGATAAAATACCCTTCCAGGTACTTGAAGGGAGAGGCAGGCTGTCTGGCTTGCTGGCATCCTCTTCCTCATCCTCAATGGGGGGAAGAATTCCTGCTCGGATGCATCTCCCTCAAACAAACACACCTGTGAGTTAGCATAACACCCAAGTTGCATCGTGAGAAATTGTGCTCCTGCTCTTACCTGCACTTTTCTAAGCATGCCTTACTTAGCTCATGGGAACTTGAGAAAAGCCTTGCCCAATCAGACCAAAGGCCTGTTTAGTCCCACATCCTGTTCCCACAGCATCTAGCCACCGCGGTGCCCCAGTAGGATTCCCACGCTCTGGACACACAGATAATAGCATTGTTCTGTTTGTTTCTTGATAATGGATATTCAGAGGCATAACTCAATGTGTTGCAGGTGTAAATACACCGAACTTGCCTTTGTTTTCTTGGTTAAGCAGCAGCTGTGGTAAGGCTGGCCCATAGCTCAGGAGACGGCCAAAGGTCTTATTTACTGTTCATTTGTCAGCTTATTTTTAAAAAGGCCATCGAGGCAGTGTTCAGTTTAAAACAAAACTGTAACACAATTTTAAGAGCAAGAACACTAAAAACAGTAAAAGGTTAAAACAAGCACCCGATTTAAAAGCTGCATCTTTACAGACTTCACCTTGAAAGCTGACAAGGTGGGGCCATTTGCCGTTCTCGGGACATAAGAGGAAGCCATTTCACAGTTGGAACCCTGTGGCAATGCAATCCTAAAGAAGGCCCATCCTGCGGATCTGGCAGGTCTATCGTGAGACCCGTGGTCTTTCCTCCTTTGCTATTTTTTTTATTTGTTTTAAAAACTTAAAAACTGTTTGAGCTGCCTTTCCTGAACCCACCCCTGATCAGTTGTTCAGCAAGCAGGAAGGGAAAGAAAGAGTTGCTTCTTGGCCCTACCCAATCTGTCCACACAAGCTTTTCCAAGTTTGCTCCGTCTCTCCACTCCAAGCCTCTAGCCTCCTTCAAACCCCTTCCCTTCACTAGTCCTCTCTCTTCCCCCTCCCTAGAGGCATTTCTCTCCCTGCCTAGCTCCTAGCATCGTTTTTCCTCTGCCCACTCTTGCCTTTAACTTGCTGTTTCTCTGCTTCACCTCTTCTGACCAGCCAGGCCTTCACAGCAACCATGATGTGACTAGCTGCCTCTTCCACGGCGGCCACAGTGTGGCGATGCCCACAGCAGTTTCTCCAATTCCTAAATGTGTAAATATGTTCTTGGATCCAAAAAGGTGAGGCAACTCTGGCCTACTGCTGCAAAAACAGCAACTATCTTGAGGCTTCGTAACGTTGAACTAAATTTATTCTGGCATGCAGGTTTGTGCACAGTGGCTCCACATCATCAGACACATGAAGTATCACCAAGAATTTCAGGTAAGTATACAGTACAAAGGAGGACAGGTGAGAGGAGAGATTCTCCCTGGCCACCACTGCTTAAATTTCTTGATAACTTTCCATAGATCTGATGAAATAAGCTATCATCCATGAAAGCTTTTGCCAGAATTAACATGGTATGTTACAGTTTCCCTTGGAGAGTTAATGTGTCAACAGCTTTTATAGAAAGAAAGTTTCCTTTTGGGTGTGAGGGTAAACAACCTGGAGCAGCCATGCTATTTCAGCTGCTCATCCAATGCATGGAAAGTTTTGCTGCTTTGGAAAGGAACAGCTCCGTTGAACAGCTCCCTGCTTGTTTTCTTCTTTGCACCTGCAGGGGTAAATGCGCTGTGGGCTTCCTTATATGCAGCTGCACAGTTCTGTGTTATTGCCTTGGATTGAAGCAACAGGGTAGTAGGGACCCCTTCACAAGTGCACGGTATTCAACGCCAAAGTGACCACTACATTATTGTAGCAAGAACAATTCAGAATCAAAACGTTTTAGAATTGGAAGGAACCTTGGAGGTAATCTAGTCACTCTCCCCCCTGCAAAATACAAGAATCTTGTGGCACTTTAGAAAGCTTATTTATTTATTTTTATTTATTAAAACCTTTTTATGCCGCCCCATTCGCCGAAGCCTCGGCTTATGGGTTTGTACCATGTGATTCGCTCTTGCTTTCTTTTGTGTGTTTCTAAAACTCGACATCTTGCAGCTGAATGTGACAACTCGATGAAAATCATTATGCCAGAGATAAGGAAGAAAGGTCTGCTCCGATATATATACTGCAGTGACTCATTCACACATAACAAGGTGATGCTGATGCTCATCAAATGGTGGAACATGCGTGTATGAACCTGGACCAGCTGTTTCTTTGTCCACAGCCTGGGTCCACACCCTATGGCTCCACCTCTTTTCTGGATTCACTTTCCCAATATTAACAGCTTAATTACTGCATTTCTAGAGGCAATAGAAACGAATCTATAAAAATGACTCCTGAAATGCTTTAGTTTTGGTGCCATTTTGCCAGAGAAAATTAGAGGGCAGGCAGTAGTGCCAGGTAGTAAGAACAGGTGGCTTCAACTGATTTCTTTCTGAAGGATGAAATGTTACTTCTATATGTGTGCATTAAAAGTATGGTTGCTATAAAAATATCCCTTTAGAGTAGTCAATCCTAGAGGAGATGGAGCAATTTTTAATTTAGTCAGAAATGAAACACTGGAATAATCCCAAAACTAATTATGAGTTTTCAGAGAGAAATTAAATCAGCTTAAATTTGCATAGGCATACAATTGCTCTGCTTGAAGGGAGATTTTTTTTTTGCCTTTAGGTCAGGCCCAGGAAGCCTAGGTCATCCTACTCTTGGACTACAATTTCCATCATCATTGACTATTTGTACTAGTTGCCACCTATTTTAGAAGATGCAAAGCAAAACAGGAAGATGTAGTAATCTGTGTGGCTGCCTTTTAAAGTAGGGTTGGACAACTTGGGATCCTGCAGATATTTTGGCCCACAAATCTGTCCTAGCCAGCAAAGCCAATGCCCAGAGGTGATGAGGTAGCAAGAGACCAAGCTTCTGGAGGGCCAGAAATTTAGCCAGCTCTTTTTTTAAAGCAGGGATGGGCAACTTAAGGCACTGCAGGTACTGTTGCCTGCTGCTCCCAGTTTCTTTCCACTGGTGCTGGCTGGGGGACGCAATCATTACCTATTCCCATAAATATAGAGCACAGCGTTGCACAGTGGTTAGAGTGAAGAGCCGGGAGATCTGGGTTCTAGCCCCAACTTGTCCATTGACTTTTGGCCAGGCACTTACTCTCAACCTAACCTACCTCGCAGGGCTCTTAAGAGGATAATATGGGGTGCAGGAGGAACGGGACGTAAGTTGCCCTGAGTCCTCACAAGAGGAAAAACGGCAGGGCATAAATATAATGCTCATGAGAAATAAAACCAAAAAGAATCAGTAGTTTTATCTGGTTAAGCAGTTTTTCTAACTGCACAGAAAATACACAGAAAGTTTGGATGGGCACAGCTGCCTCACGAAAAGCACCATGCCCTTCACACGCGGCAGGGCTGGGCGGACGCTGGCAGTTCCGGCCCAGCAGATCCGGGGGGCCCCACGTCCAAGGGGGCTGTTTCAGGAAGAGGGGAGCAGCCCCCCCAGCCCGTGCGCGGGGCGCTGCATTTTGTAGCGACCCGGGAGACCCGAGTGCTCGTGCCCCCTGGGCGGCGGCGCGGGTGGCTGCCGGGATAAACCGGAGCGCGACCCCGAGCGGGCCGCCACGGGCCTCTGGCAGAGCGCGGGGGGCATCCGCGCTTGGAGGCGGGCGGGGCCCCTGCGATACCGCCTCGGCGCCGGGAGGGGGGAGCCGCCGGCGCGCGGCCGGCGAGCGCGGGGGAGGGGGCGCGGGGCACGCGCCGGCGGCTCCCCCC